ATTCTTCCCTCCCCTCCCCGCCCCATGGTTAGTATTCTTGCAGTATTCACAGAGAGCTCAAGAACTCAAGTAACCTCAGACCCTGAAGGAAATTTGGTGGCATAAATTACTCAGTTTAGTCATCTGTGTTATAATTCAGTTATGTGTTTCTCAAGGGTTTTGGCAAGGATTTAAAGCTCTATACAGACTCTGTGATTCTTGTCTTCCTGCACTTTCTAGGAATGGTGTTTTTTTGTTTTTTTTTTTTAATATATTTTATTGATTTTTCACAGAGAGGAAGGGAAGAGGGATAGAGAGTTAGAAACATCGATGAGAGAGAAACATCGATCAGCTGCCTCCTGCACATCTCCCACCGGGGATGTGCCCGCAACCCAGGTACATGCCCTTAACCGGAATCGAACCTGGGACCTTTCAGTCTGCAGGCCGACGCTCTATCCACTGAGCCAAACCGGTTTCGGCGGAATGGTGTTTTTTTGATTTGGCATCTGACCCTGAGGAGTACATTCTGGATGGTTCACCTTCTTCTACTTCTAACATCAGTTATTGATATGTAACTAGAGTTCTAGAAAAACTGGGCCTTTCTTGCCCAAGTTCTTAAACCCTCATGGTGAAAACCGCTCACTGCACAAGTCCCTCCTCATTCTTTCCTGTACCGGCCCATTAGGATCCAGGAACTGATACCAAGTGGTGGGAATAAAACTAAACAGGACAGACAGGTCTCAGCTTTCTTTGGAACTTCAGTTCCGCTGAGAGAGAGAAACAAACAAAAATTTAAGTCAAAACAACTTGATTGGTGTTCCTGACCCCAATCTGGGATTTTTGTTGTTGTTGTTGTTAATCCTCACACAAGGGATATTTTTTCTATTGATTTTTAGATAGAGTCAGAGGGAGAGAGGGGTAGAGAGAGAGAAACATTGATGTGAGAGACACATTGGTTGGTTGCCTCCCGAGCCCCACCGGGGCCTGGGGAGGGATGGGGATCAAACTGAGACCCTTCGGTCTGTGCTCTAACCACTGAGCACACAGCCCAGGGCCTGGGATGTTTTTTCTGCATGTCCTCTCTGCATCCTTCCACTGGGTGGGAGATGAGGGCGGGCGCTGTACGCAGTGCTACAGTAACTAAGCGCTGGGATCAGAGTCAGAAATCTTGAGTTCAGTTTGATACTGGCTCTGCCACTTTAAGCTGGGTGAGCAAGTTGTCCAACTTTTCTATGTCTCACTTTCTTCATCTGTAAAAATGGAGATAATAACAACACAGGCTTTGTGAGGATTAAGGGCTTGGCACAGAATCTCCACATAATACTCAATACCTGCCACTACTCTTCTGTATATAGTATTCCTCGAACTTTCTTTTTCCGAAGCGCTCTTTTCCAGTGCACAGCCATCCCCGCCCACCGCTATAAAAATGAAGGAGGGAGCCCTGGCTGGGTAGCACAGTCGGTTGGAGTGTTGTCTGGAGGTCATGGTTGTAGGTTCGATCTCCTGTTTGGGCACATACAGGAAGCAAATAGTGAATGCATGAATGAGCAGAACAACAGCCCTGGCCGGTGTGGCTCAGTTGGTTGGAGCATAGTCCAGTATAACCGAAAGGTTTTGGGTTCAACTCCCAGTCAGGGCATTTACCTAGGTTGCAGGTTCAGGTTTGATTCCCGGTCGGGGTCTGGGCACTTCCAGAAGGCAACCAATAGATAGATGTTCCTCTCTCTCTTCCTTCCTCTCTCTAAAATCAATTTTTTGAAAAATGATGGAGGGAGAAACAATGTTGGGAAATTTCTATCTTTTCATCTTTTTTTTAACCTAGACATTGGAAAGAGACTCCCAGTATATGACTTGAGTAGATCCCCTACACTCAGCTCACAGAATTCCAGTTTGCCATTGGAATATGTGTTGCTCACACATTTGAATATGCTTCACTATTTTTTATAGGAACTCCTCCATTGCCTGAAGGTAATTCTGTAATTTAGCATAACTTTGGAGAGGGGGGATATTGTAGGACACGCCTGTCACCCAGAAGCTAAGAACTAAACAAGCATTTGATTACTGGAAGTGCCCACATATTAATGAGGGTAAGTTTAACAGGACATATTCCTCTTTGATGGTTCTGCAGCCCTACAAGGCTGGGGAGGTGTGTGATGGCCGCAGAAGACCTAGGGTCAGCACAGCAAAGATGGCGTCTCTTTTTCCTCCTCTATAGCACCCAGCATGTTCATTCCCAGGCATACAGGAAGAGCTCACTCAACACTACCTGCCAGTGTGTGCTACTGGGTAAGTTACTTCATTTCTTTGAGCCTTAGGAGCAAATAAATACTATGCTCGCTTATAAGGCTTTGTGTGAGCAGGAAATGAGCTAATAGTAAAGCCCCACACAATGCCTGACACATGGCTGTTGGTTCTCTTCCCCTTTCACTTCTAGTGTAGTTCCTAACCCCACCCCCACCCCGCCAAATTACGTTATTTGAGTCAGGGACTTTGTCTGCCCACTGCCTAGCACAGGAACTTCCCCTAGTGACAGTTTCAATTTATTCATGCATTCAGTGAATCTTTGCGTACCTACAGTGGACAAAAGCTTGGAGTTGAGAGAGAGAGCAGGTTCATTCAAGAACCCAGCTAATTGACTATGACCAAAGAAGCCGAGGCTTCCAGGAAAAAATGATGAGAGAGAGCTAGAATGGTTAATCTGGATTAGTTTTTCGTTTGTTTTAGAGAGAGAATGAGAGGGGGGGGAGGTTGTTGTTCCATTTATGTATGTATTCATTGGTTGATTCCTGTATCTGCCCTGATCAGGGATTGACCCCATAACCTGGGTGTATCAAGGATGATGCTCTAACCAACTGATCTACCTGGCCAGGGCTGGGTTAGCTCTTAAAGGGTTTTGTGGGTCTTATACAAATTTTTGGACTTTATCCTATGAGTTGAAGATTGCCACTGAACCAAAACGTGGCAGAAACTTTTTTTGTTTTTATTTTAGAATGGCTTGTGGTTCTCAGATTTTAGTGTGCTTAGGGATCACCAGGGACGCTTGTTAAAAAGGAGGAATCCCGGAGCCACACCGCCTGAGAACATTCATTTAAATCAGCACCCTAGCCCTAGCCGGTTTGTCTCAGTGGATAAAGCGTTGGCCTGTGGACTGAAGGGTCCCAGGTTCGATTCTGGTCAAGGGCGCATGCCCGGGTTGCAGGCTCAATGATTCCCAGTAGGGGACTTGCAGGAGGCAGCCGATCAATGATTCTCTCTCATCATTGATGTTTCTATCTCTCTCTCCCTCTCCCTTCCACTCTGAAATCAATAAGGATGTATTGAAAAAAATAAATCAACACCCTAGTTGATTCCGATTCACTTAAATGTTCAGGTACAAGTGGGACTTACCTGAAAAGAAAAAGACCAGTTAGGAGGCTAGTGCAGTAGCCCTGGGGACAGCTGACTTGAACTTGGGCCTTACTTGGCTTGTCTTACAGTTACGGCCTGAAGCCTCCTCTGTCCCATGGAGGACCAGCTGGAAGCCCAGCAAATGCTGCCTAAGGGAGACATACTTGGCAGGTATTAGAAGGCAGCATACACACGACTCGGAGGTGGACGGTACGGGGAGTGTGAGAGAGAGAGGACGGGGTCCAGGACGCCCCCTCTCCAGCATGGAGCCAGGTCCTATCGGAGTGCCATTCGCCGAACCTGGTCGGAGGAGGTAAAGCGAGGAATTTCAGTTGAGATTCGCCGAGTTTGAGGCGCCTCTGGGCCATCCAAGTGGAGATGTTCCAGAAGCCAGCTGGATTTATAGGTTGGAAGCTCAGAAAGATCCGGGCTAGAAACAGAGAGTTGAGAAGGATTAACAAGTAGGTGGGAGTGGAGGTGGGAGAAAGGGCCTAGATTCTAGAGTCTAGAACACAGCCCAGGGGACATTTTGAGGGCAGAGCTGAGGAGGAAGAGGAACGCGAAGGGATCAAGGACGGGCCAGAGTCCCGGCCCAAAGCCGCAGGGAGGGCGCGGGACGCGGCCTGGGCGCGTGACCGTGCGGAGAGCGGCGTCCCTGCGGCTGCGGGGCGGATGGCGGCAGATTGCAGCGGCCGCGGGGAGTGGGAGGCGGGGGAGCCCACGGCTGGCAGGGCCCCGTCTTCAAGACGTTTGGCCAAGAGCGGGGAGAGAGATGGTGGCAACTTACGACAGAAATAGAACCGCGTCTTTTTCTGTGCTGAGGGTGGAGCAGAAGGACGTACAGGGATAAAGGCTAAAATAAAACCTGAGGGCGAGAGGGGGACCCACTGCACAGACGTTGGGATTTGTTCTGAAAGCAGGAGGGACCAGCTTCCATGTTTTAACCGGACGGAAGGAGGAAACGATGGACCGGATCGGAAACCTGACAGTGGGCCGTTCTCCCCGGTGGAGTGTCTCCTCTCGGAGGTTGGGAGCCAGGCCCCGAGGAGGGAGTTTGGGGGATGAGTATGTCCCACCTCAGCCGGCCCAGGTGCGGGGTTACCGGCGCGGGAGCAGTCACTGCGCCAGGCAGGGACTTGGTGGGAAGCGAGTTGAGGCTGAAGCTTTAAAATCCAAAGGATGAGAGGCTGACCGAGATTAAGTGTGATGCTCCTCTGACCCTGAGGAAAACTGCATGTGGGCCAGTGAACAAGGGTGTGTGTTTTCCCCTAGAACCTCATGCTGGGGCTACGACTCAGGCTCCCCCTTCCTCGTCCAGTCAGTCTGCCTTGCCCGGCGTGTGTCCCACGTCCAGGCCTCAAGGCTCCTCGTCCTCAACGAGGACCAGCTGGAAGCCATTTTGATTAAGCTCCACCACAGAAGGACAATACAGCCCCGCCCAGAGCAGGCGCGCCCCCGCGGCGGGCCGGGTGCGCGTGTCCGCGCCTCTTCCCGCCGGCCTGGCAGGCGCCGGGCCGGGCCGGGGCAGCGCGGGGCGGGGGGGGCGGGGTGGTTATGTAAGCGTTGCGCGCTCCCGCGAGGCGACAGCCAATGGGAAGCCCCGGCGGCTCGTGCTCGCGCACGCAGGGTGGGGGGAGGGAGCGCACAGCGTGCGCGCGCCCTCTCCCTCCTCCACCGCTGCCGCCTCCTTCTTCTGCCGCTCCTGGTGCTGCTTGTGTGCTCGTTTGGTGCGGACCTGGTACCTCTTTTGTGAAGCGGCAGCTGAGACTCCGGCGCTCGCCATGGCCGACGAAAAGCCCAAGGTGAGTTCGGCGCCGGCCGCCTCGTCTCGCCTCGCGGCGGGGTCACGGCGCGGGCTGGTCTCCGGCCCGCGCCACCGCGGGCTCCCCGCGCCTTCCCGGGCCCCTCACGGGCCGGCCGCGGCTCAGGCCCGGGCGTTCCGCGCCATTTTCCTCCCTCCCCTCTTCCTCCCTCCCGCGCTGGAGGAGGCTCCGCGGCCCTCCCCCGCCCCCGGCCGCCTCAGAGTGCGCGCCAGGCGCGAGTTGGGCGGGCGGATCGCGGACGCCCGCAGGCCAACGGCTGCGAGCGGGGCTTCTCGGGCCGGGCGGGCGGGCGGGCGCGCGTGAGGAGGGGCGTTAGGGCGCGCGGTGTCTCCACCCTCCGCGGACCCCGTGCGGAGCTGAGGCGGGTGCTGCCGCCTCCGCGGTGGCGGGGAGTTCCCTTGGTCCGGGACTTCCCCCACAGGGATGAGCAGCGCGGGCGTCCGGGGACCCTGCCTCGGGCCGCCGGGGCCCGGTGAGGGCTCGGGAGGAATCAATGGGTTGCCGATGGGTCGGAAGCCGGGTGGCGGTCGGGCGGTCGTGAGGGGCTGGGGATTCCCGGGGAGTGTTTCCCATTTTAATGGCCTCGGGTCCCGGTGGTGGTGGTGGGGGGGATGGGCAGGGGCTTTTCCTTGGGTGTGAGATGACCCCTAACCTGCGGGGACCATGTGGTTTCGAGAAGTTGGGGTCGATGTTCGTGCAGAGACTTCCTAGGGCTTAACTTTCGAGGGCGGGTTTTGAGGCACCAAGGAGGCTCTTCCCGTGAGGGCCGGGCGCACGCGTCCACCTGGCGCACGGGGCGCCTCTTTCGGTTTGTCTGGTTTGTGACCCCCCCCCCCCCCGAAGCGATTCAGGGGCCACAGAGTTCTTTCTGCACTCGATGTGGGTGAACTTCAGATTAGGTGGAAATCTGCGAGGAAGACTTGGAATAAACTTCATTTGACTCATGTCAACAAAGGGGAGGGGAGAAGAAGCTCTCCACTAAAAATAAACAAAATGAAGCTGCAAATAGAGGCGAACGTTAATGGTGGTTCTGAGTTATTGCCGCTGCTTCAGAGAGAATCAGGATGTTCCTCGATTAGCTTTGTTCATGGAACTTGAGATTTAAGTCATAAAATCGGGTTCGGTAGCTTCAACGAGAGAATTGTAATGGGTTTTGAGTTGCAAGCTCGAGGTTTGTTCCCCTGCATCTGTACTTTGAAAAGGGAAAGGATGCTCATTTTTAACTTTTTAAAGGAAAAGATAGCTTTTGAAAGTGACCAAATAGACCATTTTAGGCAATTGAAGAGAGCACTGTAGTAAATTTGAGTGGGACTCATCCTTAAAAATTGATTGTTGCCACTGATAGTATTGCATGAGGCGCTTTTTCTGTTTCTGTGGCAGACAGCTATTTAATGTCACCTCAGGGTTTCTCATTTTTTCAGATTGATTTCAGCGGCTGAAAACAGCTGTATGCTCTCTTATCATACAGAATGAGAAACCTGTTGATTTCTGAAGCAACTTGGGCTGCAGCTGCTTTAAAAGGTGTTTGTTTTTCACATTTTCCAAATTATACTTTTATTTTTCTTTCAACAGGAAGGAGTCAAGACTGAGAACAACGATCATATTAATTTGAAGGTGGCGGGGCAGGATGGTTCTGTGGTGCAGTTTAAGATTAAGAGGCATACACCACTTAGTAAACTAATGAAAGCCTATTGTGAACGACAGGTGAGGAACTGACATGAGCACTTTCACTGAATAAAACTTATTTAAATAAAAAAACCCTTATTTTCATGAGAATAGAGACTAGATTAGCATAATAAGTAGACTGACTTTGCTAGAATGAATATGCACTTACATATTTGACATATCAATTTTATCATACACTTGGACTTGGTATGTTGATTCTTCATGAAAACCCTAGGATGGGTTGGTTAATGTATGACTAGAGTCTAGTCCTGTACCACAAATGCATCAAATTATACTCACAACACGTGGTTTGTTTCCAAGGTGATATAAGAAAATAAGAATGAACATAGTAAAATTTCTTGTCAGGCTCTTTTTTATCCATTTCAGATATGTCTTATGTCAAAACTATTTTGACCAGTTTGGAAATACAATTAAATGGGAGTTTAATTAAAAAAAAAAAAGTGAGTTTAAGGACATTGCAATTTTCCTGAAGTGTGTAAAATTTTAATATTCCCTTTTTACACTAAAAGTGGATGTCAAGAAATTTAATCTGCCCTAGTCGGTTTGGCTCAGTGAATAGAGCGTCAGTCTGCGGACTGAAGAGTCCCAGGTTTGATTCCAGTCAAGGGCACGTGCCCCTGTTTAAGGCTCGATCCCCAGTAGGGGGCGTGCAGGAGGCAGCCGATCAGTGATTCTCATTGATGTTTCTAGGTTTCTCTCCCTCTCCCTTCATCTCTGAAATCAATAAAGAAATGTATATTTAAAAAAATTTAACCTGAGCCAAGCATAAACATTTTTATATTCTAAAGACATTTGCATTTTACTTAGATAATAGTAAATAGACATCAAGGAGAGGAAGTAGAAATATATAGATGCTGGGAGGTAAATGCAAGCTGTAAGACAAAGAAGCTTCTCTTTGTGATGAGTCTAACAATACAAAGGCAACTTTAAAAATGACTTTTGCAAGTATAACAAAAACTCTGGTACCTACATAAGTTAAATACAACAGTTACTTCACAGAAGTACTTTTCTTTTTAAAATTTTTATTTCTTGATTTTAGAAAGACAGGAAGTGGGGGGAGAGAGAAACATAGATTTGTTGTCCCACTTATATATGCATTTATTGGTTTGGCTCTTGTATGTTCCCTGACCAGGAATCGAACCCACAGCCTTGGCGTATTGGTGACACTCTAACCAACAGCTATCCGGCCAGGGCCTCAGTATATTCTTATTTGAAGAATTTTGGAGAAATTCCCCTTAATTGTGCTAAAGATTTTTTTGCACTAGCACCTTTCATATTTGAAAACTAGTTCCCCTTCAGGTTACAGGGAAATTTTTTTTTTCCCCAGAGGAAGGGAGAGGGAGAGAGAGATAGAAACATCAATGATGAGAGAAAACCATTGATTGGCTGCCTCCTGTACGCCCCCTACTGGGGATTGAGCCCTCAACCCGGGCATGTGCCCTTGACCGGAATTGAACCTGAGACCCCTCAGTCTGCGGGCCGATGCTCTCCACTGAGCCAAACCAGCTAGGACATACAGGGGAATTTTTAAAGCTAATCATTTTGTAGATGTTTTATGTAGCCAAACCTTATACAGAACAGAAACTCATGTTTAGATTTGGTAGTTTTGAACAAAATTCTCCGTATCTTCAGTTTTCTCTAATTACTACTAAATTTTAGCTTTTTAACATCATTGATTTTTAGAAAGAGGAGGGAAGAGAGAAAGACTGATTTGTTGTTCCACTTATTTATGCATTCATTGGTCAATTCGTGTTTATTCTCTGACTGGGGATCCAACCTGCATCCTTGGTGTATAGGGACAACATTGTAACCAACTGAGTAACGGCCAGGGCTAAATTTTATTCATTTTTATTTTTTAATTGACTTTAGAGAGCGAGGAAGGGGAGGGCTAGAGAGGTAGAAACATTGCTGAGATACTGCCTCTAGCATGCTCCCTAACTGAGGATCGAACCTGCAACCCGGGCGTGTGCCCTGACCAGGAATCAAACCTCAACTTCTGGTTCATAGGTCAACACTCAACCACCAAGCCACACCAGCCTGGTTGACTCCCTGCTTTTTATGTGTGGGTACAGACTCAAAAGACTAAGAATTGGCAGTTGAAAATTCTTGACCAAGGATTTCCTGTAAAGATTCATTGAATGTGCATATTTATTTTGTAATGAACTCACTTGATATCTTGACTCTGGAGTTTCAGTGGATGTATAATGGGCATCTCAAACTGAACATCCAAAAGAGGACTCTTGATTTTACTTCTAGAAATCTTTTTCTCTGGTGTCCCCACTAAGTAAACAGCAATATTCAACATCTAGTCGTGAGGTCAAAACCGTGGGGTCATTATTTATTTTTATTGATTTCAGAGAGGAAGGGAGAGATAGAAACATAAATGAGAGAGTAGCATTGATCGGCTGCCTCCTGTATGCCCCACACTTGGGATTGAGCCTGAAACCCAGGCATGTGCCTTAATGGGGAATTGAACTGTGACCTCCTGGGTCATAGGTTGATGCTCAACCACTGAGCTATCCCGGCTGAGCCTTAGGGTCATTTGATGATGCTTTCCTAACTCATATAAGCCATCAGCAAATTCTCTTCTCTAACAACCTTTGCTGTCCAATACAGTACTCAAACCACATGTAACTATTTACCACTTGAAATGTGGCTAGTCCAATTTGAGATGTGCGGTAAAGTGCAATATATATAGCAGATTTGGAAACTCAGTATGAAAAGTAAATTAGCTTAGTTTTTAAAATGTTGAATACATGTTGAAATGATAGTATTTTGAATTAAGATATTCTATTAAAATTCTATATTTTTCAAGTGGCAACTAGAAAATTTAAAAATACATATGTGGCTCACATATTTCTGTTGGCTATTGCTGAGCCCTCAGCCATTTTATTCCAGTCTTGCTAAGTTATTTCCTTGGAGATGTGTCTGATTAATTCAAAGAGCTTCTTTTCCTGGCATTCAATCCTCATTCAGTTTGATATTTTTCATTGGTCGATGTCTATATTTGTCTTTCCACTGAAATGCGAGCTCCATGAGCATAGGGCCTTTTTGATCACTATTTCTCTAGAGCCTAGACCAATAACCTGGCATATCGAACATGTTATAGAGAACATTCAATGTAGTATTTCCAGAGGTTGGTTCCTACTAAGTTTTTCATTCACATGTAGAATTAGAGTTTGCCTACTTTATGTCAGCCACATAGTCTTCAGCTAACTGATTGAGAGCATACTTTCCCATTGTAGTGGATTTACCCTACAGATTGTTTCATGGAGTGTCAGGTGGTTTCAGAGGGCACAGGTTTATTGGTTTAGTCCAATTCATTTTTGTGAGATGAGAAAATGGACCCACAGAGATAAGCTCATACAACTCTTCAGGCACAACTCTAAAGCTCAGGGATGAGATTTATTCAGAAGAGGAGCTCAAGTACTGGTTTAATGTAAATTCCTTGTTTGAATTTACATGGCTTATGGAATCTTAAAGACAAGTTTTCTGAATTTTGGACTTTTGCTCTATAGCAAAATCTTTTTTTTTTTTTTAAATATATTTTATTGATTTTTTACAGAGAGGAAGGGAAAGAGATACAGAGTTAGAAACATTGATCAGCTGCCTCCTGCACATCTCCCACTGGGGATGTGCCCGCAACCCAGGTACATGCCCTTGACCGGAATCGAACCCGGGACCCTTCAGTCCGCAGGCTGACGCTCTATCCACTGAGCCAAACCGGTTTCGGCTATAGCAAAATCTTTTATTGGTAAAGAAAAGCATATAGCCTTAGCCAGTTTGGTTTAGTAGATAGTGTTGGCCTGCGGACTGAAGGGTCCCGGGCATGTATCTGGTTTGTGGGCTTAATCCCCAGTGGGGGGGCATGCAGGAGGCAGCCAATCAGTGATTCTCATCTTTTTTTTTTTTTTTAAATATATTTTATTGATTTACAGAGAGGAAGGGAAGAGGGACAGAGAGTCAGAAACATCGATGAGAGAGAAACACCAATCAGCTGCCTCCTGCACACCCCCAACTGGGGATGTGCCTGCAACCAAGGTACATGCCCTTGACCGGAATTGAACCCGGGACCCTTGAGTCTGCAGGCCGATGCTCTATCTGCTGAGCCAAACCAGCTAGGGCGATTCTCATCTTTGATGTTTCTATCTCTCCCTCTCCCTCTCTGAAACGAATGAAATATATTTAACCCTCTGAGTGCCAACCAATATCCTAGGAACTATGCTAAAATTGCCAAGGCATTTTTGCTGATATTACAGCAGTTTAGGAAAAAAATTATGAATCGCAAGTAAATGAAGTTACATATTCAAAAACTTAAGGAAACCTTTACTACATTTGTTTTCATCTTTGACATATATTGTTTGCTGATGGTATTATAAAATACTAGTAGGAAAAAAAATTGCAGGAGGAGCGCGATTGCGCTCCCCGCACTCAGGGTTAAGAAAGAAAAAAAAGAAAAGTATATAAACAGGTGGCAATAAAGCAGTAGTCCTGGCTGGGTGGTTCAGTTGGTTGAAGTATCTTCCCTTACATCAAAAGGTTTTAGGTTCAGTCCCTGGTCGGGGCACATACCGATGTTTCTCACATTGATGTTTCTGTCTAAAATCAATAAAAATCCTCTGGTGAAGATTAAAAAAAAAAAAAAGGAATATAGTTTGCTTATTTTCTGTCCCTGCCTTTCCCCCCCTTTTATTTTGAATGGCTGCACCATTGTCCTTACGACCTTACCCCTGGATGTAGTGAAGGAAGAACCCAGCATATAGAAGGTGCTTAATATTTTGTTGAAGCACAGACTTCAGTGGAGTGTTTTTATTTTTATTTTTTTAAATATATTTTATTGATTTTTTACAGAGAGGAAGGGAGAGGGATAGAGAGTCAGAAACATCGATGAGAGAGAAGCATCGATCAGCCGCCTCATGCACACCCCCCACCGGGGACGTGCCCACAACCCAGGCACATGCCCTTGACCGGAATCGAACCTGGGACCCTTCAGTCCGCAGGCTGACGCTCTATCCACTGAGCCAAACCGGTTTCGGCAATGTGGAGTGTTTTTAAATATGTAAAACTTGGTAATTAATGCTTGGCATTGAATTCTTGGTTCCTTTTGTAATCGCTAATTAAAATTAAAAGTCATGAGGAATTTCACCTACCTGATGGAGGATTGCTTGTATTCAAGACAAGGGTAAGGGCTAGTCTGTAAGTGGTATGTATTTACACTCAGTAAATTGGAGTGTCATCCTGTCGCAGGTTCCATTCCAAGTCTAGGGGCCAGTGGGAGGCAGCCTTATAGATGTTTGTCTCTACCTCTCCCTTTGTCTCCCTTCCTCTCTAAAAAACCCCAAAAGTCAATATAAATATCCTCAGGTGAGGATTTAAAATATATTCATTGAAGTATGGCTTTTGTGTAACAATTATAATTTATAATTTGAGCATGATATTGGAGTGACTTCGTAAGATGCTTTCTAGAAAGCTGTCTTTCAAGTTAATATATTTATGCCATACCTCCAAAGATACTTTATTTTTCTATCTTGTCTTCATTTGGCTGCAGTTATCAACAGCTTTGATGCTTTGCTCCTTTCCCCCTCTTCCCACTCTTGTGTCGGGAAGGTAATGCTTGATCTCTTTAACATGCACTGAGGAATATTGCTGTGTGCATTGGTTACTTCAAATTTCCTTTCAGTATCTTATTTAAATGCAGTTGACTCAAAGTATGATCTGTTCAAGGTTGGATTAGCTATGGTCTCAAAAGCAGTGCAGCTTTTTTTAAAAGAAGACCTTTTAAAAACATTTTCCAAAGAAAATCAAACATAGTTTAAAGAAAGTGAAAGTCACCCCAAATCTTTTTACTCATAGAAATGTTGGTAGCAAATGTATTTATGTCTCATTTAAAACATTTGTGGCTAAATATGCATATGTTTGCAGTAAGATGCTTTTAAACTCTCTTGTACAGGGTTTGTCAATGAGGCAGATCAGATTCCGATTTGACGGGCAGCCAATCAATGAAACAGACACACCTGCACAGGTAAAAATCTCTGTTAACTAGAAAAATCAATGTGTGTTTTTTTTTTGTAATTTGCTTAACAGCTTTATTTATGAACTTTTAGATGTTGAAATACAGTTCTTTATCAAAATTCAAAGCTTTGTAAAAGATGATCAAGGGGGAACAGAAAGAAAAAAAATAGGAATAGATTGAGGAAATGCCACTGGTTTTAAAATATCTGGTTATCACTCAGTAAAACTAATAGGTCATTTAGTTACTTTAACCCATTTCTTTCTTATTGTCATTTTCTTCAGAATGTTTATTGATTTCAGAGAGTAAGAGAGAGGGGGAGAAAGATGGAAACATCAATGAGAGAGAATCATTGAATAGACTGCCTCCTGCTTGCCCCACTCTGGGGATCGAGCCCGCAACCTGGACATGTGCCCTGACTGGGAATCGAACTGTGACCTCCTGGTTCATAGGTTGACCTTCAACCACTGAGCTATACCTGCAGGACAACTGCAAGTCTCTTGATAGCTTAGTTTGAGAGTGGGGGCTGTTGACAACAGGTGGCTTTCCAGACCCTTACTACAGAATGTGATGCTGCCCTGGCCCAGTGACTCAGTGATTAGAGTGTTGGCCCTGTGAAGGGCATGTACCTTGGATGCAGGCTCCATCCTGCATCCCGGCCCAGTGTGTGGGAGGCAACCAGTCAATGTAACAGATGTATCTATATCTCTCTCCACCTCTCTCTTCTCTCTCCCTCTCTCCCTCCTCTTTCTTCCCCCTCCAGTCGCTCCCTCCCTCTCCCCCAACCCCTTCCACTCTAAAAATCAATGGAAAAAATGTCCTCAGGTGGGGATTAACAACAACAGAAAAAGGTCATGCTGTCTGATCCCTGTATCTCTACCTATCAGCACAGTTGGTCTATCACATTGTAAGAAGCTCTCAAGTTCCAGTTAAGAATTCCACTTTGAAAATTTAAATTAGAGTCTATTTTTGAATTTTTTTATCACGCCATAAAAACCAGAAAGTGATAAATATGGTGTGAGTGAAGCAGCATGTCAAGATTGTGGCTTCCTTGATAATCTTAAAAAAATATTGAATTATCTATGAGTTATACTTGAGAAGAGAAGATTTTGAAGAAATTCCGTTGGTGAGTCTCTAAGAAGCAGTTATAGTCCATAACCACAAGGTGGAGCTGAATTCTCTTTAAATATATATTTTTTTATTGATTTCAGAGAAGAAGAGAGAGAGAGACATCAATGATGAGAGAGAATCATTGATCAGCTGCCTTCTGCACGCCCCCCTACTGGGGATTGAGCCTGAAACCTGGGCATGTGCCTTTTACCGAAATTGAACCCCAGGACCCTTCATTCCACAGGCCGACGTTCTATCCACTGAAGCAAACAGGCTAGGGTGAACTGAATTCACTTGATGAAAGAGAAAAAGCTCTTTTATCTTTTAAAAGCATTTAAAGTTTCACTATAAAGTTCAAAATACTAATAGTTTTGTTACAGTAGATAGGCTGAAGACCTGTTTGGATGTGTGTGGGTTTTTTTGTCTTATTTTGTGGTTTTGTTGTGGTTGTTGTTTTTTTGCATCCCGGGGGGGGCCTGAATTGATGTTTTTAAAAGAATAAAAAGAATTCATTAAGCTAAACTCTGATGATTAGAATGTATTTTCTGTCTTATGAAGCCCTTACCCCCCACCAGAAAGTAGTTCTAAGGCTTGTCTACCGTGCTAGTTGCAAATACTAAACTGTGAGGAGGATTTATTCAGACTTGCATTATAAAATCTTCAAATGAATTTAGAATTGAATTCATTTTAGAATGAAATTGACTTGTTTTAGAATTGTTTTCCCAATATTAAATAGAAGACTTGTAATAAATCAAAAAATCTTATCAGCCAATTTTAATAGCAGTATAATTATGTGCCCATCATTCTGTTAAATACTTTCTTCAACTCATTTCATTCTCATAACTGAATGCTATGCCTTTTTACAAAGAGGGAATTGAGACGCAGTTATTAATACAGTGGGGTCTTGACTTACGAGTTTAATGCGTTCTGAGACCGAGCTCGTTAACTCAAATTACTCTATCAACTCAATGCAAAAAATCGGCTGAGAGACAGCTGGTATCTCAAAAAACTCGTTAGTCGGGACACTCGTAAGTCAAGGCCCTACTGTATTTTAAAGCCTTAGCTCTACTTTGAGTATATTTGAACTTTGTTAGAAACAGTTGTTTCTTGTCTTTAGGTGCTCAAGATTGTTTTATTTTCAAAATTACCAGTTTTTAGAAAGAAATGTTTAAGGGTAATTGTCAGCATAATAAACTGTTACAAAGATTATTTACTTTAAAGCAGGGGTGGGGAACATACAGCTGGAGACATCATTCGGTCTGGCCCTGCCAAGGCATTAGGGTGAGTCAATTAAATGTTTGACCAAACAGGGCAGGCTAATTTTTAAGTTGATAATGTTATATGGCCTGAGAATGATGTTATAAATACCCAAATGGCCCTTGGCAGAAAAAAGATTCCCCACTCCTGCATTTTACAGTGTTGCCATATGTACCCAAACCTTATCAACATGGTTGTTTTGTGTATAACATATGGGTAGTAAAACTTGCAAACTTAATTTGTGAATAGCATTTTAAAATTGAAATTAACTTAAAAAACAACACAAGTTTTTTCTTGCCCGATCCCTTTCCTTACTGCATAGAGGCAACCACTGTTTTGTGCATAGGCAAGGATACATTCATGTGTATACACACACACACACGCACACACACCTAAAAACACAAAGGTTGCCTAGTTTTTAAATGTTGTTTTTAGTATTCTAGGGGTATTTAGTATTATAGGAATATTTCTACTTCTGCACATGTAAATCTGCTTATTCTTTAATAACAGGTATGTGGTATTTCATTGTGAATGTATAGTATTTCTTTGGGTTTCTGTTGGTACTTAGGTTATTTCCAGTCTTGCTCACCTAAACAACATAGTGAGATCCTTTACATGCATCACTCATTTTCAGTGATCGAAGGAGATGATTTAACTTGTAGACATGTTCAGTTTTTAACTTAAAAGCTAAGTTTTCTAGTATAATCTTCATTAAAAAAGGAATGCCAAGTGAAAAATTACTAAAATCTAAGCCTGGGATGCTAACTAAGTTAGTGTTTGGGATGTCTAAAATAACCAACACTAGAATTGGGTGAAACTTGTGCAGTTTTTCAGGATATTTCTGATAGTTATAAATTTTAACTATCAATGGCTTTTTTTCCTTTATGCTAGTTGGAAATGGAGGATGAAGATACAATTGATGTGTTCCAGCAGCAGACAGGAGGGGTCTACTAAAAAGGGAACCTGCTACTTTACTCCAGAACTCTGTTCCTCCAGACCAAGAAGACATTCTCAATTAGAAAACTGCAATTTGGTTTCAACACATCTGACTACTACAGTATAGTTTTCTCTATTCTTTCATTTTCCCCTTCCCCATTCTTTTATTATTGTACATAAAGTAACGGATGTATGTGCACAAGCATTTGCATTTTTTTTTTTTTTAACTAAATGGCCAATGGTATGTTTTGATCTACATCAAATGGAGATGGGATGGGGAAAAAATACTGGTTCTGTGAAAACACCCCCTTTCTCCATTAGTGGCATGCTCATCCAGCTCTTATCTTTATATTCCAGTAAGTTATTTTGCTCTCACTGTTTAACAAAAAAGAACAACATAAAAATTCTTGCATACCTTGTTTGATTGGAGAATTTTAATGTTTTTCATTTATCATTGTAAAACCAAGGACAATTTTATAACTTTTTTGTACGTAGCTGTTACATGTAGGGCAATCTGTCTTTAAGTAGGGATAAATTACTCTAAAAAAATGAATCCTAGATAGTTTTCCCTTCAAGTCAAGTGTCTTGTTGTTTAAATAAACTTCTTGTTTAAAATGAGCTGTTCTCTTTATTCTGAGGAATATTAAATAAGAAAATTGAAGTTTAGGATACCAATAGGCCTGCTAGAAGTAACATTTAAAGGAAGAAACAGGACTTTCTATTTCTGACAGACTAATGCAAAACAAAGAATAACAAAGTTACATAAATGACTATCAACGGATGTTCCAGCCTCCTCTTTGTTAAAAAAGCTTAGGTCCAAATATGCAACTTTAGTAGCAAAAAAAAAAAAAATAGGTCATACTATGTGGATTTACTCTCAAGCATTCTTTTCTGTAAACCATTACCTGAGGCCTTAGTAAAATGCAGCTAGGAAAAAGGTTCTGGTTTAGCTAACTGCTGATAAGTCACTTAATTCTCTAGCTTTCACTTTGGTGAGTAATCCCTAACCTAAAATAGAATCTGTTTCTTATTTAAGGATGTTGAAGGACAGAAAATGTTTATCTACATATATTTCTTTTAGCATTTAAATATATAGGTCACTACTGTCTTCAAATGTATGGGGAAAGATCATGGCTATAGAACCAATAAACAGTATTTGAGCAGGGAAGATAAAAAAAGATGGTCTAATTCTAACCCCTGTTTTGGGGTTGAGAAAACTGATCCAGAGTGTTGTCACACAGCCACATGGTTATAGAACTGGGACTAGAGATAGGTTTCCTGCTGCCTTTTTATTCCAATTGAATTCTCTAAAACTAGTTCTCAAGAAACTGAATTCTCACCCCTGCTAACCCACCAATGTGGTCTTGTTGGATCAAGTCCCCATGTAATAATGCCATGTGATTCACTTAATTCACTGTACCGCTTACAGTATGATCTCTTTTACATTCCCCATGTCCATAGTGAATGAGCTTCCCAGAAACAGGAATTCTCTAGATTTTTGGCTCTATTATGGATATGTGTTAATCTTGAATCAATTTTTATTTTGCTACCAACCCATTTTTACAACTTATATTGTGAGACGGTGGGAAGCCTGCCCCCAAGAATTCTTCTTAGAAGGGATCAGTTGAGTACATTTCTCTTGACATACTGATCTAGGTACTATTAAATAGTGGAGTTTTGTGGTGCCCTAAAAACTAAAGTTAAATTGAAATTTAAATCAGAGGACTTTAATGTGGAAGGGGTCTTAAACTGGGTTCTTCAGTTAGAGGAATTAATACTATGAGTTTTTGCCTTGTTCGGAGAAGATAAACTTTAAATTCCTTCATAGTGGAAAAACTTGATACAATTAATAGAGCCAGAGAGAAATGTGTGGACAGGGCACTGTTCAATAATATAGTATGTTGTAGCTTATTGATACTTGGGTCAGTGTGTATACCTTATTTGTGTTCTTAAATGGACTTCTTGATTGTTGCTCTTGACCATTTCACATAAGTTGCTACCAAAACAATTATTGTATAGAAAAAATTTGTGGAGTACTTTTTAAAAATCACTTTGAAAATAAGTGAAATGGTTTGAGTTGAAAATACTGAAAGTAATCTTTGCATTTTATTTTTTTTGGTTTGGGAGGGGACATTCAAGTGATGGGAGTTATGCTGCCATTTTGGTTAACTGTTACAATTTGGCTAAACTCTTTCCGGCTGCCCTCATATTTAATGAGATTGACTGGAAGATGGGAAGGAATACTTTGAGGAAAATGGGAGACGGGTGAAAGTGCAATTGGGAATTGTGACAGCAGCAGGTCAGTGGACAGTGGACTCTCAGGATTTGAGGGAGTTTTTTCAAGGTCTTTGTGTATATGTGTGTGTGTGTTGGTGGGGAGGTGGTGGTGGTGGTGGATAGTATATTGGAGAGGGCCAGCTGTGCTGCTGGGTTATTTTTGAGTTAGGTTATTGCTGCTTTTAAATATGACTAACAGGGATTCTGGATCCTGGTTTTTCATCAGAACGTCTGGGTGAGCTTTTTAAAAATACCAGTGCTTCTGCCCTACCGCCCAGAAATGTATTTTCAAAGCATGTGTAATTGAGAAGCAATTCTGGGAGGCATCCTTACAACTCTTGAGTTAATCATCTTATGGTGAAGATTAAATGAGATAAGTATTAGCTAGAAAATGCCTCCCACATGCTGAACTCTAAAGTTACTCAGCCCTGACAGGATGGCTCAGTTGCTTGGAGCTTTGTTCCATACACCAAAAGATTGCAGATTCGATCCCTGGTCGAATTTCAAGTTCAATCCCAGTTGGGGCTGGAGGCAACTAATTATGTTTCTCTCACATTGATATTTCCCTTCCTCTCTCTAAAAATCAATAAAAATATATCCTTGGGTGAGGATTAAAATAAGTTGTTATATTCAGTGTGAAGTAAGGGCTCTGCCATAGAATGCTGAGGCTTCAACTGAATACCTAAATCTCTACCAGTTGGCCTGCACTTAATGTAAATGAGAAATCAGAGACCCAGCCAAGAACTTTCTATTTACTAAAAAAAAACTGAGTATGACCTTTGTCTCTTGTCTCATTAGATTTTTTTAATAAATGCTTAATACTAAATAGTGCCCTAGTGAGTCTTTAAGGAAAAATATTCCTCAGGATATTTTTTAAATCCTCGCCCAAGGATATATTGATTTTAGAGAGGGAGGAAGAGAGAGAAATGTGAGAGAGGATCATTGATCAGCTGCCTCCTGCACGGTCCCCACTGGGGATTGAGCCTGCAACCTGGGCATGTATCCTCCCCTGGGAATCAAACTGTGACCTCCTGGTTCAAAGGTTAACACTCAACCACTGAGCCACACCTGCTGGGCTTTTAGCTATTTTTGCTAAGGAGGTGAATTCATTTTAGGAGAGTGGGACAGATGGGTTAGGGACGTAGAGTGTATGTACCATTTTGTTTACCTTTGAATAAAGAGAAGGCAAGAACATGACAAAGCTATTTTCCATTATTTGAGACCTCTTCGTGCACTTGTTTAATGGCAAATGAGCTTTAAGAGAACTTGGGCTGTCTCAGTGGGCACTGATCTGCCACCCTCTTTTTTGGTGAGGATATGGCTAAGAAAAGAATGGACAGATGTATACTAAATTTGACTTTAAGAGTAATGGATGCAGAACTTATGTGTAAATATGTGTGGTTAAGTCATACATAAGTGATACGCTTATGAAGTATCCTGCAATGTTGAGGCTGAGAAATACAGCTTGTTAGAAATACTTGTCAGTGGGCCATTCATTAATTCAGTCATTAAATCAAATTCAAAAGCATGACCAGCATTTGTTTTTAAATAATGAAACAGAAGGGTAGAAAATATTAAGAGTATTATTAAACTGTGGTTGAACGTAAGTAGTTGCTATTCTTGTAGGTCTGAAATAGTCAGATATCTGCAGTTTCATATGGTTTAACCTAATAAGTATGTATTGATGTCAGTCAAATGCACTGATCAAAGAGATTGGTTCGAACCCAATTTCAGAATCTAGGGAGAGTATCACCCACTCCCTCTGGCATTGTGGAATAAATTGGGGCAGGTTGAACTTCTGGGGGATTCAGTACATTGTATGGTAGTGGGAAAGCTGATAACATTAAAGGTAAAAACAGGTGCTTGAGAGCTAAGAGTTGCTGTGTTAGTGCATGTTTTTGCTTTTAGTTGCTACCTTAACTAAAGTGGTGAGGCAGAAGTGGTTGGAAACAACCTCCATATTATTTTGAGTAGGTCGGGCATTGCATTCTTGAATAAAACTCTCCAGATACCCAGTAGCAAAATTAAAAACCAATGGCATTCCTGTCCATATTAAAGGAAAATTATTAGGGCTTCAAACACTTTTCTGACATGTTTTAAATACTAGATTTCTAGCCACCTGATTCGGAACAATAGATTGTGTTCTGAGGAGAACGTTGGGTTTACTCAAACCTGTTGGGTAAGCTGATTTTTACTAACCTTTCTGAACTGAATTACAAGTGGATGACTAGTACTTTGAATATAGCAAGGAAGTGGCAGCATGGGACGAAGGTAAATTTAAGAGTACTTAACTGTTTAAAGACATGAAAAGTATAAAGCATGTGAGCAACTGTTCATTCTTCTCCCCTTTATTGTATTTTAAAAGTAGGTGAAAATGGACATACACATATAGGGCAGTGGGGTTTTTTTATTTACTAGAGGCCCAGTGCACGAATTTGTGCATGGGTGGGATCCGGCTGGCCCCATCGGTCAGGATGGGGGGCTGACCGGGAGAGGGTCACAGGCGGTTGGCTGGTTGGCCCTGCCCCCTGGTTGAGGGGACAATTTGCATATTAGCCTTTTATTATATAGGATTTATGGCAGTGGTATTTAAAATTGGAACCCTGGGGTTGTACAAAAAGGTAGGTAGACTGCCAAACAGGCTTGCCTAAAATGGCCTTAATCTGATGTCTATTTTACATAAATTTACTCTTAATAATAAAAGGGTTCTCCTGGGATTTATGTTTTATCCTTGAAGCAGAGGTTCTCAGTCCAAGCTATACATGAGAATTACCTGTTTTACTTCTTAAAGATATCCATGACTGAGTCCGACACCCAGAAATTTCAATTTAGTTGATGTTGGATAGGGCCTGGCATTCATTTGTATTTCTTAAAAGCTCATAGGTTATTCTGATGTGTAGCCAGTGTGAGGCACCTCTATGAGAGATCTTTCATTTCCTAAGTACAACATTCTTAAAATTCCAAACCCCATTCTCTAGATGAAACTGGGCTCGAGAGCATCAGGGTACTTAGGAGTGTTATATTGAGAGGGAGCAGACCCAGAATCTAGGCTTTTTGATTGCCAGCCCAGTGCTGTATTACCACAGCAACCTGTCTTCTACTAGACTACAGGGGATGGAGGAAGTAAGGCAAGTCAAGTACAAATTCAAAAATGTAAGTTAAAAGGGACCCTAAAGAGTCAGGTAAAAACCCCTCATTTCACATACAAAAAATTTCAGATCATTAGAAAGTATGTGATTATTTTCCAAGTAAGTCAATAAAAACGACTATCACTTTGATGACTTCTTATATGTTAGGCCAAGCAGTTTACATCATTACTTAATTCAGTCCTCAACTCTGGAGTCCAGATACTATTTTATCTTTATGAATGAGGAAACGTGCTCAGAAAAGTTAAGAGTTGAGATTAAAACCCAGATTTCTCGTATGAGAGCCTGAGCCAGCAACCAACATACTCTAACTCCTAGTCTGTACTTACATGATTTTTTTTTGTTAGAGAGAGAGAGAAACATTGATGTGAGAAACCCATCTATCAGCTGCCTCCTGCCCTGACCTGGGATGGAGCCTGTAACCACTCCAACCAATTGAATCACACTGGCCAGGGCAGGAATTACATGATTTTTGAGGAGGGCTTGCATGCTCACTGGCTAGATGGATATGAAAGTGGTTTTTTGTTTTTTAGCTTTTATTATTATTAAAGTTTTGAAAGTTTACGCCAAGCCTTTAAGAATGGAAATATTTTAATCCAAACAAGTGGTGTGCTTCGCGAGTTTTTGTGGTAAGCACAAAAATCCATGCCTTTCTAGAAGAGAAGAACTTATCTCTGGCTTTTCATGAAAGCCCAGAAGAGCGGTTAGCCAACAATATAAACTTCTGACTGGGGGGAGGAGGCTATGCAAAGAGGAAAGTAGTTCAATTTTATGGAAATACTGAACAAGATCTGCCTTGAGGAAACATGCATGCTTTTCTATTATGATTTTGTAAGCAGTCATTCCTGAGCCCTCCAAGTGTGTCTGCATTTGTTGCAGGGATAGATTTACCCAGACAGGTGGAGGAAGAGCCATGACTTAAGGGTATAAACAGCTGCAGAGCTCTGGAATAGTCTTGATAGCAAAGGATGTGGCCATTCCCAGCCACCAGGCATTAACAGCCTTAGAACAGACCTTCAAATCACGACTATAATTTTGGTCTAGTGCATGCACCGCCCATGACAGCTAAATATTAACATTAAAATGTAAAGAATTTCCAGTCGTTTTAAAAGGGATCATCTTGGCGTGCTTTCTGTCGCTGACTCAATGTTGCTGCCTTGGGACTGTCAGGTTTTCACAGGAGATACACAGTAGGCACTCAATGTCAATTTAGAATAGTCCTTTTCATCCCTTAAGGAGCATGCCCTCACTGTCCCACCATAAGTAAGGCAAATAAGTGCGTGGGAACGACAAATCTGCCCTGCACTGTGGGTTCCAACTTACCGGAGCGAGCTTTCTCCTTTGTCAGGTAACTTTTTAGTGACAGCGAGCATTACTCGTACCAAGCATGGGGCAGGTTTGTCCTTTGTCCAATCATCTCCGAGATTTGAGGGTGGGGGAGGGGGCACTTCTCCAGACCATCCCTGACCAGGAAGCGGGCGGGCTTAGGTTGAGCCTGGACCACCACAGCCCATCGTGAGGCAGTACGATGCTTGGCACTCCGGGGAACCAATAGGTACGCAGAGAGCTATTTGAATCGGCCAATGCCGGGAGGGCGGGGGCGGGGTTTACAGACCCTATAAAAGCGGTGGCCGGCCGACCAGGCGGTGGCGGAGGCTTCTGCAGCGGTCGCCGTTGGTGGGGTGGGGAGCTTGTCTGCGCCCCGAGGGCCGGATCCTTTCAACTCTGGTGCCGCGCCAGCCTGTCTCACTCCTCGGCGTCATGACGACCACCACCACCTTCAAGGGCGTCGACCCCAACAGCAGGAATAGCTCCAGGTGAGGCGGCGGGTCCGCGCCACGCGGGACTCGGGGTCGGGAGGGCCGCTGCCCAGCGGGGCCACGCGGGCCGAGTTGCGGGTCGTTGGCGGTAACGTGCCCGGGGCGTCTGGCCAGGCGGCGGTGCTCAGTTACCAGTCCCGCCTTTGTGTCTCCCCGCGAGCCCCGCACGCTGCCCCGCCCGACTCCCTCTCCTCTCATTCATTCCTGCCCGGGAGCGAGGGGCCGGAGGGCCGGGGACTCGCCCTGAACGCGCCGCGGGTTGTAAGTTGGGCTGTACCGAGAGGGTTCGCGCCCTCCTCTTTTAAGCGGGGCCAACCCGTTCCCAGGGCGGTGGTCTTAGCCCCCGGGTGCCCGGACAGCTTAGGGGCGTCTCGGCCAGGCCCCATTGTCTCACCCCCGGGCCACGCGCTCCTGTCACTTGCTCGGGGCAGGTGCGGCCGTGCGATCGGCGTGGCGATCAGATTCCGCGGTCGCAGCCAGCGGGTCCGGCGGGCTTCTCCCCACTGGGGCCAGTCTGGCAGGTGGCATTGGTGGGCAGGCAGGGTGGTCATCGCGACCCCCAACTCCTTCCTTTCCAGGACCCAGCCGTCAGCCAGCCCTTGCCAAGTGCCTCCCTTCTGCTAACAAAGGAAAGACCCCCGCTCCTTCCCCTCCTGCGCCCACCTGCGAACGGGAGAGGGCGTGTGCCAGTCCGAGTGGGTTTTCGGTGCTCAAACCTGCGGACCTCGGTCTTTGCATCCCACCTCTTTGACGTTTGTTAAATGAGTTCATCTCTGGCCCCAGTTCCCTTGCAGGAGGAGGTTTCCTGTTCTTGGGCGGGGCCGGAGACATCCATTGTCTCTTCCGTGTACTATTTCCACTTGGGAAGCGGGGCCTTTCTGGCCACTTAGGCCACTGCATTTGGGGAAGGGGCACTGGGTGCCGGGTTTGGACCGGGACCCTTTTCCAAGCGGTTGCCTAACTTGGCGGAAGGGTTTGGATCCGGTGGAACATGCCCACATTGTCTGGGCTGCTCTCTGAGGTGGGATCTCCGGGATCCTTGCTCACGGCTGGGAGGGAGCTTAGCCTCCGCTTTTTCTGGGCATCTATTCTTCATCGATGGGGATCTGCAGTCATGTGTGGCCAGCCCTGGGGTCCTGAGCAAGTGGCACAAAAGGGAGCCATTTTGTGGGGCTAAGAAGACAGCTGTGAAATAGCTGTGTCTCAGGGGTTGGAGAACTTGGGGACAAAAGCAGGCCTCAGCACTGAGTCTTAGGAGGAGCTTTGGAAATGACATTCCTTTTGAATTCATTCCTTTCCCTTTCGCAATGGAGAAAAAACAGGAAAGATTTTTAAAAACAAAATTAGTGGTTCCTGGGAGGCTGGGGGAGCGGTGGTAGTACACAAAATACTGAAGAGGGTCACTCCCTCTTCTGTTGTCATCCTTCCAATGAGATCATTTTTTTCAGAGGACACTGGAGCGAATTGAACCTTGGTTTTTCCGTTTGTGCCACGGGGTCAACTTTCTGCGGGTCAGAATGTAGTGGTTGGAATGTTCATGTGTAAAAAATCTGAGGTTTTAGCCTTTGGGGTTGAGTTCGGTTTGGTGCTTCATAAAGAATTTCGGTAACCTGGTCAAATGAATCCTCACACTAGCTTTTGATATGTATATTTGAAATGTCAAACGGAAATGAGTTTTGGTTCTGCACAGTAAGTGTTGTAACTCATCTTTTGTCATCAGTTTCTGTCCAGTATTGTGATCTTGGGACTGTAGCATTGTCCTTTTATTTACTTCCTGCCTTTCCTTCTTCCGTAATCTCAGCTAATGCTCTTAAAACTTCTTTTCTCCCGTAACATCCTCCTGGCCCCATAAATTTAGTCTGTTAGGAAATGATCTGCAAAGATTATATGGGAAGTCTAGGATTTAAAGAGAGAAGAAAGAAAAAGTAATTTTTAAAACATTGCTGTCTGCAGTACGTGGAGACATTTGTGTTGTCTCAAATGTGTAATCCTGATTTAGTTATCATGTGTGTTGCTCAGAAGGAATAGTAGGGCCTGAAAGAGTAAAATGGATATAATTTCTGTCTTATGATTCAAATCCTTTGTTTGGGGATGTCTGGCTGTTACAAATGGGCTCCACAACACTGACGTCATCGAGTAGGTACTACCTGCTGTTAGAGCAGGAACACGGACCTTTAAAAAGTTGAAATGGTCAGAGCTTTGCGTTTTGTTTTTTTTTAAGCTGGTGTTGGGTACTAGTTTCTATTTTTTTTCCCCCCCCCAAGGCTGAAAAATATTTCCCAGCCCATTAGGGTTCTGAAGATTTTCATCTGGCTAAAAATTCATAAGGGTTTAATTATGATGGTAAGGGAAAAAAATCATTAATCTCTAGGCCCTAGAGTCTAGGGAATGAAGGGGGGAAGACAATGAAGCAAGTTAACTTTTGGGGTACAAATGTTGAAAACCTAGTCACTTCAAACTTTAACATGAGAGAAAGCCTATTAAGAATTTATACCTTTAATTATTACTTAAACCATTTATACCAATGTAAAATTATCACCTTTATAAAATGTATGCCTGAGCACATATAATCTAAGTGAATATTTAATATCTGAGATTAAAAAAGAACACCCACAAACCAGTGAGGTTTTAAATGTTTGACATAAGAGAACACAATGGATCTCCCCGCCCCTCCCAAGGGAAATATGACACTAGAGGCCCGGTGCATAAAATTCATGCAGGGTAGGGTCCTTAGGCCTGGCTGGCGATCAAGGGCCGATCAGATTGCCCGACTCCCGGCCTCCTTCTTCCTTTGCTCCCTCAGCGCCCCACCACTGCTGCTGGTCACCCGCCATGTTCCGCCCCGCCCCCTGGTGGTCAGTGCATGTCATAGCGGGCGATCAAACTCCCAGTCTCCCCATAGAACTCCCAAGGGGACAATTTGCATATTAGCCTTTTATTATATAGGATTTTTATTTAGTATAAATTGGGTACTGAATTTTACTATGGGCAGACACAAATATTAGATTCAGGGTAGGACACTAGAGGACCTACATAAGAAATATAAGACAGTTTAAGATTAGGAAGCAAGAAAACAAATCAAAGCACCAACTATGTGGGTTTGTAGTGTAAAGAGAAAAATGGCCTTGTGTGGTTCCCCTGTATCAATGCCAGGAGCTGGGGATTTGGGTTTTGGTCATATCTGTGTCAGTTAACTAATGTTGGGCAATTTATTTGGAACTTCTCAGGGCCTGACTTGGCTCCCTTAAAAATGAGGCTGAACCCTGACTGGTAGCTCAGTTCATTGGAGTGTGGTCCCGATACGATATGCCTAGGTTACAGGTTTAATCCCTGGTCAGGGCACACACAAAAAAGAGGCTGTTGAACTGGATAGACAGGGATTTTTCATACTTTTGAATCTCATGGCACACACAAACGAATTACTGAAATTCTGCAGCACACCAAAAAATATATTTTTTGCCGATCTGACAAAAATAATAGATATAATTTTGATTCATTCATACCGGAGGGCTATTGTTGTGTTGGCTGTTGTCATTTTTTGTTTGGCAATCTAAGGGAAAAGAGGTCAGGGCCCCTGACTGAATAGTCAGGTATTGCATGTTTTAAAAATTATTGCCGAGACACCAGCTGCAAATCGCTGGGAGAGAGCAGTCAGAGCCCAGCAAATTACCACCCGAGGGCCAAACCCAGCTGGCCTCAGATCTTGACATTTATAAGTGGTTGGGGGAAAAAAAAGCCAGAAGAATATTTCATGACTTGTGAAAATGATATGAAAATCAAATTTCCATGTCCGTAAGTGAAGTTTTATTGGAACACAGCCACACTCATTCATTTTCACGTTGTCTGTGGCTGCTTTGTGCCACGTGATGGAGTTACATAGTTGTGCCAGACGGCAGGACCCACAAGCCAAAAATACCTCCTGTCTGGCCCTTTCACACAAAGCATCTCTAGTGTTTTTACCTCAGGTTCCACCTGCTACTCTTTGAGATCATGGAGGAGGTGAAGGTTTAAGAGTCACTGAGGGGGGCTGGCCAGTGTGCTCAGTGGTTAGCACAGACCCAGGAACCCAGAGGTCATGGCTCCATTCCAGTCAGGGCGCATGCCCAGGCTGGGGGCTCGATCCTCAGTTGGGGGCCTACAGGAGGCAGCCATAGATGTTTCTATCTCTCTATCCCTCTCCCTCCTCTCTCTCTAAAAATCAATTTTTTAAAAAAAGAGTCACTGAGGGAAGGGTGGAGAGGGCACTAGGGAGGAGAAAGTATGAGGTGGAGATAAGCCAGAACTGTTTGGGGAACAGTGAAGAAAGTGGCCTGACTGGATTGGTGAAGAGGGCGGTGCCGAGAGGAGGCCACATTGGCAGTTGGAGAAGTTTGTCTGATTTCCTTCAGTTCTGCCGAGGCTTAACCAGACCTTGCATCTGGCTTGTGGGTAGCAGGACTAAGATCGCACAGGGGAGCCTGGTGGGGAAGGACACAGGGCAGGGCAGGAGATCATACCCCTTGGGCAGGAAGGGCCAGTGTAAGGGAGCTGAGGCCAGCGTGTTGCCTACAGCCAAGGGGGCAGGAGCCCAGCTCAGGGCTTCTGGCTGAGCGGCGCTCCCCCTGTGGGAACGCACTGACCACCAGGGGGCAGCTCTTGCATTGAGCGTCTGCCCCCTGGTGGTCAGTGCCCGCCATAGCGACTGGTCATTCCGCCGTTCGGTCGATTTGCATATTAGTCTTTTATTATATAGGATGTAATTGGGTTTATATTTGTTCTCTAACCTTTTTTATTCACTGGGTTTTGGGTAACTTTTTGTATCTACTAAAGGCAAATCTCACTGTAATGTGTATAGCTTCCTGTTGTATGGACAGACTTTGATACCTAACCTCCTACTATTGGATAATTAGGGTATTTCCAACTTTTCACAGATTAACCTATTTATAGGGGTATCCTTGTACATATGTCTGGTTATCTACTTAGGATAATTTCTGGAAGTAGAAATGCTGATTCATATAAAATGTAAACCTAAACAATTGATACACATATCAAAATGTTCTTTAGAAAATTTGTACAAATTCATGCTGGGAATTGGCATTTATTTTCCATCTTCACTAGTCTAATAAGCAGAAAACCTCACAAAACTGTCATCTTGGTGTGTTTTTTTTGTTTTGTTTTGTTTTTTAGAGTTTATTTGAACCAAACTAACAAGATATGCAGGGGAGCAAGATCTCAAATGCTCCCAACTATCATCTTGTTTTAAATTTTATTTGCTAATGAGGTTGAATTTTTAATATTTAGAGGCTACCCATATATTTTAATTGCCTGTTAGTACTGTTTGTCATTTTTTTTTGTTATTTTTAAAATAATTTCTTAAGAGCATTGCATTATATTAGTGATATTATCCTTTGTCAAACGTGCATATTTTTGCCAAGTTTAATCTGTCCATCTCATGATTTCTGGCTTTCATCTTGTGCTAAGAAAGAAAGCCCTTTTCTTCAAGACTAGGACACATCTGTATTTATTTTCTTCCAGTATTTTTATATATATATATATATATATGTATATATATATATATATATATATATATATAATTGATTTCAGAGAGGAAGGGAGAAGGAGAGAAAGATAAAAACATAATGATGAGAATCATTGATTGGCTGCCTCCTGCATGCTCCCTACTCAAGCCCGCAACCCAGGCATGTGCCTTTGACTGGAATTGAACCTGGGACCCTTCAGTCCGCAGGCCAATGCTCTATCCACTGAGCCAAACTGGCTAGGGCTGTTTTAGTCTTTAAATGGAAATATTTGGCTTAGCTGGAACTTTTTGGTAAATGAAGTGAGTTAGGGATATATATATATTTTTTGTTTAATCAAAATGACTAGCCAGTTAACTCATTGCAGTTTTCCCCACTGGCAGTCTTTTTGAGAGAGAATGCTTTATCTTGACAGAATTCTGGGAAAAACAGATCAGATTCTCTCATTAAGTGATAAAACATTTAATGAGTAGATTTGAACAACTCACTTAATAAGCTTGATCTAGTGGACATAGAGAACAGTGGCAAATACACTCTCTTTTCAAGCATATATAGAGAGATTTATAAAATTGACCATATATTAAGCCATAAGGCACATTTCATCAAATTTCAAAGGGTTCATGTCATAAAACTGTTGTCTGTCTGTGTTATAATTAAAAGCTAAAAACCAATAAGCTATAAAGGTCCCTATACTTGGAAACTTACAAATGCACTTCTAAATAATTTATGGGCCAAAGAAGAAAATAATGGACATGCTAAAATATTTAGACTGGACAGTAGTTTAAAAAAATCAAAACTTGCCGAAACCAGTTTGGCTCAGTGGATAGAGCGTCGGCCTGCGGACAGAAAGGTCCCAGGTTCGATTCCGGTCAGGGGCATGTGCCTGGGTTGCGGGCACATCCCCAGTGGGAGATGTGCAGGAGGCAGCTGATCGATGTTTCTCTTTCATCAATATTTCTAACTCTCTCTCTCCCTTCCTCTCTGTAAAAAATCAATAAAATATATTTTAAAAAAAAATCAAAACTTGGGAATAACTTCAGTGGGGTATTTATACCTTAAGTGTTTAATTTTTCGTTTATTTTCTAATATAAGGAGCTTAGTTTACAAATGACAACCGTATTTGTAAACTTGGATGAAATGAACATATTCCTAGAAAATGGCTTCTTATTCAAACTGACTTAAGAAATAGAAACCAGACCTCTCCTATCTCTAACAGAGGAATTGAATTAGTGGTTAGAAAATCTTTCCATAAAATCATCTCCATTTTCTGTGTTTTTGAGTTTTTCTAGGGAGGGGACAAATGGGTCAGCCTATGGCAGGGAGATTTGGAAATGTGAAAGTACTATATTCGTTGTTGAACAAAAACCCATAGGTGGTGTCCGCAGGTACATGCCTACAGAACATGCTGCGAATTTTACACTTAATGTCTCATGTTGACTTTCTCCCTGTGGCTAGTCACTTGCGTTTACCAGTGACAACAGTGAGGTCCAAGTATATAAACAGGGCTCGCCTGTGATGTTGAGATTGGAGAGATGCTTTATTATTACCTTTGCTTGGCCTTCTAAATTGATTAGTTAACTTTAATATGAATGGTCTTCCTTTTTTTATTTCGTTGAAAATAAAAATGGAAAAAAGTAACAAGATGTGTTTCTAAACTTTGCACATATAGGGTAGGGCAAAAGTAGGTTTACAGTTTGTATGGAAAATAATACAATCTCTATATATAAAAGCCCAGCGACCAGAACGACGGAACAACCAGTGGCTATGAAATGCACTGTGGCAGCCAACTGGCCTGATTCGGGCCCCAATCGGGCCCTCCCCACTGGCTGCCCCCCCCCCCCAATTTGCCCTGCCCCTGATTGGCTCCCCCGACCCCAATTGTGGGCAGGACCGGCTGGCCAACTGCCTGTGGCTTCTCCTCCTCACCGACCCGGCCAGACTCCCCAACCCCCCCCCCCCCCCCCGCATGGGGCCTCTAGTAATTAATAAATAATAATACAGATATAAGAATAAACTGTTTTGCATACTCACAACTGTACACCCACTTTTGCCACACCCTGTATTTCCAGCTAAGCCCAGGAGGCAAGGTCCCTGAGGTCTCTGGCCATTTCCTAAAAGGAGCCGCCAGCCAGGCTATTGTTTGTGATGACTTCCCGGCAGCCTTGTGTGATAGACAACCTTACTAGAGATATTATAAAGCTGCATTTTTGTTCTTAACACCCAGCGTTGAATTTATACCCCAGGGAATCAATTCGTCGTCCCCATTAGCACCTTTCTTTCGTGGGAGGGAAGGGGAATGAAGGGGCTGGGGGAACGGTTCCTGACATTTTTCCTAGGACTGTGTTGGTATGGTTTGACGTTTCTGTTTTTCCATTTTCCTAGGGTTTTGCGGCCTCCAGGTGGCGGATCCAACTTTTCATTAGGCTTTGATGAACCCACAGAACAGCCCGTGAGGAAGAACAAAATGGCCTCTAGCATCTTCGGGACACCCGAGGAAAACCCCCCTTCGTGGGCCAAGTCGGCAGGTATGGCTTATGTCTGATTGCTGGTCAAGGGGAGGACCCAGTGCGAAACCACAGCTGTCACAGGGCTTGTGAGCCAAATCTAACTTTATCTTAAAGAGATAAACAGCAGTTAAAGCTCCTCATTGGAGGAAAGACTGGGACCAAGTCTGGAAATACTCAGAGTTTACGGGATGGATCAGAATAAGGAGCGACGTCGGACAGGGTTACTCAGTCCCTCTGTCAACATTTTAAGCCATCCTTTAACCTCCCTCACACTGTTTGCTCATTTTGGAATACGAGACTAACCTAAAATATCGCTCGCTAAGAGGGTTTGCTTTAGGTATACTATTATGCTCCTCAAGAAAGTGTCTTTTGATTCAGGTGCCAAGTCCAGTGGTGGCAGAGAAGACCCTGAGTCGTCTGCACCCCAGAGAAGGAACTCCTCGGAAGCCAGCTCTGGAGACTTCCTAGACCTGAAGGTCAGTGTGACAATCGGGGAAGAGGCCAGGCTTTGAGGACATTTCGGTTTAGAAATCAGATTCCCCCCTGTCGTTCTAAGAGCTTCAGTTCTTCCACTGGAGTTTTCCATAGAGATTGTTGGGAAGGGACTGGGCAGTATTGGTGGATGACTGACAACTGAAGAGAGGGAAGTCAGAAAGTGAATAAACGTGACCTTGCTGTTCTGAGTCTCTTCAGCCGTTAGGATTGGCCTCTACGCCTCCGCGTTGATTTTAGTCACATCACACTCACTTCCTGTGTATCTCAGATACGGCGGTATTTCTGAGTTCAAGGACTGTTTAAATTGTTGGCAAACGTTGTCCAGTTGTTTTGAGCTGAACTCAAGGACTGTAGCACCGCCCCAGAGTCCCCAGCTGTGTGTCTGGAAAGCTGGTAGAGTGTCCTCCGGAGCAGGGATTTCAGGGCACATGGAGGCGTCAGCCACCTGAGTGTGGGAGGCTGTGGAAGGGGCTTTGAAATTGTTAGGTGCCTGTCAACCCCTAGGTCAGAAGCAAGAGAGGAAGGACAGATTCACTAGTTTCCCATTCTGATAGAAGGGCCTCTGAAATGCTAATTAATAGAGGTCATCAGTGTAGATGTTAATATTTTTTTAAAAATTTATATTAGTTAGATGTTAAGGTTTGTTAAATTTTGGGTGTGTAACTGGCACCGGGGCAATTTGTCCAGCATTGTCCCTGGTTGAATAAAGGTTGCTTGTGATGCAGCCTGACCCTGCCCTTGACCGCATCAAAATGAAAACACTTGGTTTCAAAGACGTAGTAATCTCTCTGAACTGTGGCTGCTTTATTTGTATGTTGCAAAATTAAAATCCGGAGTAAAATTTTAATCTCTTTTCTTTTCCAGGGAGAAGGTGACATTCATGGTGAGTACTTCCGAAGCCCAGATTTCTGGTTCTGTAAATGGTTTTAGAATAGAGTGGAACGCTGGCCAAGCGACTCAGTTGGGCTTGTACACTGAAAGGTGGCAGGTTGATTCCCAGTCGGGGCACATGCCTGGGTTGCGGTTCCATCCCAGGTTGGGGCATGTACTGTAGGCGACCGATGGATGTTTCTCTCTCTCCCTTTCTCTCTAAAATCAATGAAAGAATAGATTGGAATTTTGATTCAAGTCACCTCCTGGGAAAGAGATTGGGGACTGCACCCTAGCTTTGCCTGAGTGCCAGCATACTCTGGGTGGAGGGAAGAAAAATGAAACAGGGAAGTTAGCGAACATGGCCACATTCGGATGGCCAGCAGTGAGAGCAGTGCTAGAAGTGTGTGAGAAAGGATTAAAAAACCAACCCTTTACAAATATATGTACATTATTCAGGCTGGTATTTGTTACACTTAGTGAGAGCTTTTTAGTAAATGGCTCTGGCAGTTCAAGTTGGCCCATGGCATTGAGCTTACAAAGGTAGTTTGATATATATATATATATATATATATATAGCTGCTTATTTATCGAGACAGTGGAAACCTGGTGATCTTATAAATGGTGATTTAGGGGGCAGATGTAAATTTTCATCCCTGTGGAAATGAGCTGTTGCCATTTAATTATTTTAATCTGTGAGGTAGTTATTGGCATTTCCCTAACAAGTGCCAGAGAAGTCCTGACAAGTGTGATGCGGAGTTGACACACACCAGGCGGCGGCAGCGGGTAAAAATGGACTCGGTGGAATGCAGCTATCAGGCCCCCGGTCCTGCCGGGGCTGCCTCGCGGCCTCTTCCTGCCATTACATCCTGTGCTGCAGCCTCCAGGGAGGCAGATGTGTAAGAGCCACGTTCCTCTTCTGTCCTCTCAAACGGTGCTTTTCTTTTCTTTTTTTAAATATTTTTATTGATTTCAGAGAGGAAGGGAGAGAGAGAGAAACATCAATGATAAGAGAGAATCATGGTTCGGCTGCCTCCTGCACTCCCCACGCTGGGGATTGTTACAAATAACGCGAGCCCCCAAATTCAGGGGTCCTGGTAGAACACAAATCACACTCGGAGGCAGGCAGCAGGCAGGTGTCTTTACCTCTCCGCAGAAGGGTGCGCACGCATGGTCTGGAAGCGCATTCATGGTCTGGAAGCACGCACACCGAGCAGGTGGTCTGCCGGCTTTATAATCCCTGACCCACGTGACCTGTCCCTTGCTCTTGATTGGAGCGCAGGCGCACAGCCTTTCACGATTGGCTAATTCAAAAAGAGGGGTTGGCCTTGGCTGTTTCAAGATGGCGGCCCCCAGGGGAGCTGCAAGCCATGCGGCCAACATGGCAGCTGTCTAAATTGTTCTTTGGCAGAAAAGATGATTTGTTTATTCTCACAGGATGGAGCCCGCACCCCGGGCTTCTGCCCTGACCGGAATCGGACCGTGACCTCCTGGTCCATAGGTCGATGCTCAACCACTGAGTCCCGCCGGCCGGGCTCGCGGTGCGTCTCCACGGGGTGGGGCGAGCTCTGACCGTCTGTGAGCGTAACCCAGGCGCATGCTCGTTGGACACATTCCCTGTGCCCGGGCTGAAGATGGGTTTGTTTTTTGTTCATATCCAATTTGTTTCATTTGAAAAGACTGTTCTGCAGGTAAAATATCTTCTAGGCTTTTCGATTCCACTGCTTTGTGTAATCCTGAAATACTTCCACTGTGAGACCTTATTTAGCCACAATCCTGACTCACTAATTTTGGCCAATGAATACAGTTGGGGATTTGGGGAGCCTGGAGAGTGTGTGAGATTCTTCGGGTAAATCGCACATTGAATTGTGTAGTATGACAAGTCCTTCCTCTTTTTTTCTCCCATTGTCATCCATTTTGCCACCTGATTATTTTGTGTTCCTGATAGCTGCTACTTTTACTTTATTTGTCGTAAAATGACAAAGGGCCTGATAATGTAAGGCACATCTGGCGGAGTAGAGGTCAACCCCAGTTCTGTTGCCAAGTTTACTTCAAAGCCAAGCTATTCTGCTCTGTTTAAACAAAACAGATTTTGTTTGGATATAAGGAAAATTGCCTTCGTCTTGTGGGCAATTACACAGGAGTGGCCACAGGAGGACTTTGGAAATCTATAAGAAAGAGGACGTGAAGGCCTGCTGTTTTTAACCTCCATATGTGCTTTTTTTTCCCTTCGCTTTTTTTTTTTTTTTTTGGTATGCTGTTACCTCGTTGTGAAAGAGGACAGTTCCATTAATAATAAACGAAAGAAAATGGGTGGAAATGAGCCTGATTGAGCTAAAAACCACTCTGTGGGAATTAATTGCCATGGTAGCGCTGCAAGGTAATTTTGTGTCCTTTAGAAGTGCCGTTAGCTGCTTGGCCCCGGCAGACAGTGGAGAATCAGGTAGATGTGTGCAGCGGGGAGGCCAGGCCATGTCCTCGCAGCAGGAATGAGACCGCTCGCCTGTTGGCTCAGCCTGAGTTCATGCTCTGTATTCATCTATTTTGAATTGTTTTTAAAATGTGGGTTTCGGGTGTTTTGTTTGTGTTTGTAGTATATCGGACATGTTTTCTTAGGTTATGTAAGGGACACTTATTGTGGGACTTGGGTCCTTGATGGTGATGCTTGTGATCCCGTTGCTTGCGTAACAAGAGTGTAGCAACAGGAACCGAAGGGTAGCCGGCCCTTTCTCCCCCAGCTTCAGTTCATAACCGTAAGGACTGTCGTCTTGGAAAGCCTCCTATTAGAGTTTTACTTGTAGTTCAATACTATCGACCATTATGTGTGTCATATCATGTTACTTCTGCAGAATGTTCCAGAAATTCATCAAATGCCATGTGACTAGCAGCAGTAGCTTGTGTCTGAGATTTTGGTGTGTTTCTGATCTAAGACCACTTCTCCCTTGGACTTCTCAGTTTCAGTCGGCTAAATAAAAACTTGGTACAAGTGGTTTTAGGAACATGAACTTTTAATGTTTGGTCTTTGAAGAACTTAGAGAAACTATGTATTTTTTTAAAATTAGAACTTTTCATTGGTGTCCAGAATGAGTCCATATGGAGTTCCTACATAGTATATAGCAGAACCAATATTTCGGCTTCACTGCTTCCAGGCTTTGGAACTCCCAAACTGGGAGGGAATGCATGTCCTTAAGCCCTGGCGGGGTGGCTCAGTTGGTTGGAGCAGCATCCCATACATCAAAAGGGTGTGGGTTCTGTTACTGGTCAGGGCACATCCATAAGTTGTGGGTATGATCCCCAGTTGGCGTGCATACAGGAGGCAACTGATTGATGTTTCTCTCTCACCTCTCTCTAAAGTCAAGAAAACATATCCTCAGGTGAAGATTGGAAAACTTTTTTCTAAGTTTATGGAAGCTTTTCTCCCATGTCTGCTACTAAAGGTGTCTCTGTGTGTGATTATTCTAAGGCAGGTATTAGAATACTCAACTGAATGTGGTCTAACACTGAATGAAATCAGACCTGGATTTTCTTTAAAAATTAAAAATCGAACATGCCTTAAAACTATGAAACTCTTCTTAGAAGTTTCCTTCCGCAGAAAATTCTGAGTTTTTTCTCTTGCAGTTACTCTTTGAACCAATGACATCTCTGACTTTGTAAACTACCTGGTTAAGAATATATGCTTGTTGGGAGTTTCACAAATCAGCCAGTGAATCAATCAAGCAGTATCCAGGATTTTGGACAATACTACACTAATTCTAAACACTTTAATATGGAAAGTGCCCAGTTCATGAGAGATGGGAGTGACCTGGTTAATGGAGGTGTTATTACAAGCCAGTAGGGGAAAGGTGGACTCGTTAATAAATGTAGATGATGGTACAACTGGCCATCTGTGTAGTTAAAATCAACCTCACCCAGTAATCATGGACATGTAACATACAACATGAACGCAGTAACATTTCCCACCCATCAGTCTGGCAAATATTAAAGCAAAGAGGTTACCAAGCGGTGCATATGCAAAGGTGTCAGGTGGGCATACATTGCTTTGATGGGGGGTACGAGGTGGGACATGGCACAGCCACTTGGGAAGGTGCTGGGTAATGTTTGCATTACAGTTTTGTTTGCAGTACTTGGGCCGGTTGCTCAGTAGAAGACTGGATATATTAAATTCACACACACACACACAATAAAGCACTTCAATTAAGCAAGGTGAATTATGACCATATGTATAAATATGGGTAAATTTGCAAAAGAGTGAAAAAAAAAGGAAGTTGATATTGTTTATGTTAAACACAGGGAAAACAATATTATATGTCACGTGCTGGATATAAAATACACGTAAAATATGCCCAAAACAAACCCTCTGGGGATAGGGCGAGGAGACCCACGTGGAGGTGGGTTAGGAGTCAGGGATCTAGAGCTTGTCTGTGATGTTCTAATTTACAATACTCATGTCTTTCTTGTTTGTGTAATTGAGAAAAGAACATACACAGAATGAGGCCTGGGGACACATATGGCAGAACACAAACCGTGGTAAATTCTGGGTGGCGGGACATGATTGGCGGCGGCGGTTTGCTTCTTTCTGTCTCTAGGTATGTTTTGAGTCTTCCTAAAAAACAAACAACCTTAGATCCTTCAGATTCCCTGGGAATCGCTGTTAGCCTTCATTTCATTCTGTCTCCATAGAAAACGTGGACGTAGACTTGCAGGCCAGCCTGGGGCAGAGCGAGGAGAAGCCGGTGCCCGCCGCCCCCGTGCCCAGCCCGGTGGCGCCGGCCCCGGTGCCGTCGCGGAGAAACCCCCCTGGCGGCAAGTCCAGCCTGGTCCTGGGCTAGCGCGCCTGTCGGACGCGTCGTTTTGTTTGTCTGTCTGTTTCCTCCATGCTTGTGAACTGCACAACTTGAGCCTGACTGTACATCTTTTGGATTTGTTTCATTAAAGAAGAAGCACTTTATGTACTGCTGTCTTTCTTTCCCCTTTTTCTTTCTGAAGAGCAGGTTCCTCATCGGCCCTGCTCCGGTCTGTAGGCCATGGCATGAGTGCTCCTAGTAGTAGGTGGGCGGGAAAGCCTTGTGAACCTCGTCCCGTGTTTTTAAAAACAAATAATTTGGTTCCAGATGTATTGGAGGATCTTTTGTACTGAGGTTTTTAAAACCCTTTTCTTGTCAGCTTTACTTGGGTTTACCAAGCCTTGATCGGACAGGCCAGTAAACAGTCCACAGGCACCTTCCCTACAGCCCCCCCCCCCCCCAGGGCTATCTTTATACCGAACCTCCTGGGTGTCGCCCGAACTTGTCCCTGCCCTTTGCTAAAAGCTCTTCCTGTGCCGTTTGGAACCACAGAGAGGCCTGTGCCTCATGCCTTGCTGCCGCAGAGCAAAGACACTGCCTTTTCTTTTTGAACCTTAAGCAAGAAGCCAGGCACTCACTGGGCTGGCCCAGGAGCAACGCCTCCTGCTGTCCCGCAGGGGACGCTCCATGTCCACTCCAGCTGCCCGGTTCCGAGTGTCCGTGAAGCAAGCAAGGGCGTGACCTCACAGCGCGGACCCCTCGGGCAGTGCTCTGACAGCCAGACGCCGTGTGCATGCTGCTGGTGTTGACCATGAAACGAAGTCTCATCCTTAAAAACTGTGTTGTACTTCACAATCCTGGACTGTTGCTTCAAGTAAACAAATGTACCGATTTTGAACTGTTGTGTCCCGTGTCATCTTTTGGAGGTGGTTTCGGTGTTCTGCCCGCCTAGTTGCTTTTTCTCGTTACTCCAAGTCCTCCGCTCAGTGATTGGTCACAGTGAACACGACCCGTGAAGGCCGAGGCCAGCGGGCTTCCCTCTGCAGACAGTTCTCTAAGGAGCCGGTTTCCGTTCGTAGCATGAGCTCAAAATGATCATGACCGCTGATGTCTGTGGCAATAAAATTCAGGGATAATGAGATGAACTGATATCTAAAATAATTATTAGCCAATATGCTGTATGTCTGACTCTTCTACTCCCTACCCTTTGTGCTGGGTGTAACGGACGGTACACCCAGCACAGAGTCCAACCTGCAAGGTGCTTCGCAGTGGTGGGCGGTCAAAGAGAGGAGAGCTCCAAAGGAAGGAAGGGTCCACGTTAATTAGAAGGTGACGGGTGGGGGCGTCAGGGGAGTCAGTCCCTTTGAGGGATATGGAGACCGCTGGGTTCTAGGGAGAAAGCTCCAGGTCCACATGCTGTATCGAACGTCTGAATTGGGCATCACTAGACCTGGCTTTTAGGCCCACGGGTGCCACCTACCAGCTGTATTCTGTCGGCTTGTCATTCGGGGCTCCATTTCCTAACTTAAAAAGTGACACTTTTTGCTCTGGCCGGTTTTGCTCAGTGGGTAGAGCGTTGGCCTGCGGACTGAGGGGTCCCAATTCTGGTCAAGGGCATGTACCGCAGTTGCAGGCTCCTCCCCGGCCCTGGTTGGGGCGCATGCCAATTGATGTGTCTCTCCTCCTCCCTTCCACTCTCTACATATCGATGGAAGGTATCCTGGGGTGAGGATTAACAACAACAAAACAATAAATAAAACAATTTAAAAATGTTTAAAAATAAGTGACACTGTTGATGAACTAGGTCACCTCTAAACCCCTCCCATGATCGAGATGACTCGAGTATAGTGTAACCACAGACTCACTTGAACTATCTGGCATCTCTGGGAGCAACCGGAGTGTTTACAGGTTGTGGGGTGTTAAGTTTCTCTTACGGTGTAAAGCATGGAGCCTGAGTTACGGTTTCTCTCATGACTTCGGAGATAGGGAACCAGCACCCTTCTCTCAGTGAAGGAGGGGCTCCCAGAAAGATATGTCCCCGATTTGTGTCACCACTTATGATATGGAGATTTATCTCCATAATCTATGGAGATAAATGCCTCATCAAAATTAAGGTGTTCTGAGGGAAGGACAGTTCTGCCTGTCATTTTGCTACTATCAAAATTACTTGGAATTTCCTAAAATTTACATAGAATTTCCTAAAATTCCATGTAAACATGTTTGCTAAGGTGTTAAAAGTTCCAGTTAGAAAGTTTAGGGTCTAGAAAGTGAAATTGAATTGATAGATCCTCCCTTCCCCCAACTGATGGGCGGAGTATGATGTAACCTGCAGCCCGGAAATACCTGAGTGATTAACCATGTACCTTATATGGACCATACATTGGACCACCAATCCACACCTGCCAAATATCCTAAGGCAGTGATGGTGAACCTTTTGAGGTGTCAGCATTTTGAAAAACCCTAACTTAACTCTGGTGCCCTGTCACATACAGAAATTTTTTGATATTTGCAACCATAGTAAGACAAAGATTTATATTTTTGATATTTATTTTATATATTTAAATGCCATTTAACAAAGAAAAATCAACCAAGAAAATGAGTTCACGTGTCACCTCTGATACGCGTGTCATAGGTTCGCCATCACTGCCTAAGCCCTTGTCCTATATGGACAATGCAGTAAGCCACCAATCAGTGTGCACCGGGTACACTAAGCCCCCACCCCTTCCCATTCCGCCCCTCAAAAGATGTGCCCACCCTGCACGCGCTGCTGTCCTCCCCTTGCAAGACAGCCGGGCAGGCCCTTCTCCTCTAATAAAACCTGTACTCCTGGTTTTCTACCTCTGTCTGATCTTTAAGAATGATCTTAAAATGATGACTAGAATGGACAGTTTGGACTTTTTACCTAGTTTGTAAACTTCGGTGTCAGTGAAGGAGGGGGAAATAGACAAGTCCTCAGTGTGTATTGCTGGTGCAGTAACTGCTTCCTCTTTTCTTAAGCGTGTTTGGAAGTCATCTTAGAATGAATGGGACGCCAGGCTCCCTTTGTACTGCGTCTGTTGCAGTGGCTTGGAAGTATTGGGGTGCTCAGATGGGGACCGATACTTGGGTGTAGTCAGGAAACGGAATGAAATCTACAAAAGGGGGGTTATTTCAGCATTTTTAGAGGGAATCTCATGCCGATTCTCCAGGCGTCAGTCCGACGCCCTGAGCTGGACGGAAGCTCTTCCTGGGGACGGCGTGTTTGAAGCAGCAGCTCGGGTTTCCAAGCAGCAGGTTTGCCAGTTCCTTTCTTAGGAGCTGGACTCACTCAGCGCTTTCGCTGATTCAGCTCCGGGGAGCCCGAGATCCCGGCCTCGGGTGGGTGCAGCCTCCGCAGGAGCCGGGGCTGCCGGGGCTCCGCAGGTGGAGCGGCCGCGGCCGGGTTGGGGTTGGGCCTCGCGCCCGGCCCCGCCCCCGCGGCTCCGGAAGCGGCGGCCCGCGCTCTCGCTCTCGGATCCCTTCGCCCGGCGCTCGGGCAGGGCGAGGGCGAGGGCGATGGCGGTGGCGATGGCGGCGCGGCGCGCGCGGCCCGTGCGGGTGCTGGTGGACATGGACGGCGTGCTGGCCGACTTCGAGGGCGGCCTCCTGCGGGCCTTCCGCCGCCGCTTCCCCGAGGAGCCGCACGTGCCGCTGGAGGAGCGCCGCGGCTTCTTCGCCCGCGAGCAGTACCGAGCCCTGCGGCCGGACCTGGCGGTAGGGAGTGGGGGTGGAGGGCGCCCGGAGGGGATCCGTGACCTCAAAATCCTCGGGAGCGGGAACCCCGACCCCACAGGACACCTGCCAGTGGGGAGCCCGCCGCTGGGGCCGGATGGTCTCTGCTCCGTTTCCCGATCACCCCCTTCCTGTCTAACTTCCGAACACAGTTCACAGCTCGATAGGGGCGCCCTCCCCACCCCCGACTTGGAGGGCCCCGCTGGGGCTAGATCTGCGGAGGCAGAAGCCAGGATGGGAACACTGTATCTTTCAGGACAAAGTCGCCAGCGTGTATGAAAGCCCAGGCTTTTTCCTAGACTTGGAGCCCATCCCCGGAGCCTTGGAAGCCATGCATGAGATGCACGCCATGCACGAGTGAGGGAGGCGGGGAGGGGCGGAGGGGCGGAGGGGCGGGGGGGCGGGGGGGCGGGGGCTGGCACCACCCCGCCTAACCGGCCTTCCCTGCAGCACCGAGGTCTTCATCTGCACCAGCCCCCTGTTGAAGTACGAGCACTGTGTGGGTGAGAAGGTGCGGCCGCCCCGGCGCCTCGAGACAAACTCCCCTTCCACGTCCCGGTTCTAAATAAACCAGCAGAAGCCCAGGAGGTGGGTGGGGGGAGAGGGGAGCCGCCTCTGTCAGAGGCCACAGACCCACTCACACTGCTTCCTCACTGGCCTGAATTCAGGGGCCCAGGAGGCCCCCCTGACAGGCCTGTGCCCCCTACAGTTCTCCTGGGTGGACAAGTATCTGGGGCCCCAGTTTGTGGAGCGCATCATCCTGACGAGGGACAAGACGGTGGTCTTGGGGGACCTGCTCATCGATGACAAGGACACCATTCTAGGTTGGATCATCTGGCCTGCGGGGATTGGGGAGAGGGCGCAAAAACAACCAGTTCACAGATCGCGTGCTGCCTTTCTCCCGTGCCCGTCCCAGGCCAAGAGGAGACCCCAGCCTGGGAGCACATCTTGTTCACCTGCTGCCACAACCAGCACCTGGCGCTGCCCCCCGCAAAGAGGCGGCTGCTTTCGTGGAGCGACGACTGGAGGGAGATCATAGAGAGCAAGCGGGACACGGCGGCCGTGGCCCCGGGGCAGTGGACAGTGCTTAAAGGACCGGAAGACAGGCCGGCAGGGAAGCCCAGCAGAGCTAAGTGACAGGGCAGCCTCGTGCGGTGACCCAGCGCTGGGGGGCAGGGGACACAGCAGCCTCTACTCTCCCAGGCCAGCCACCTGGCACCTCCCGAGATGGCGGCACGGAAACACGGTGGGAAGTCAGTCAGGAACCTGTTAATAAAACAGTTTGGCTCACTGCTCTGTTCAGGCTCTTTATTTGGGAAAGGAAAGGGCAGGAGCCCGAGGGCTGCCGTTGGAATGAAGGCTGATAGAGGCCTTCCCCCTCTCTCCCAGAGGCCCCAGGACCTGCCCCACCTCCCTGCCCCCTGGATGCCATTCCTCTGGCAGCTGCCCTCCCTTGGTCATGTGAGAGGTCAACCTTAAGGGAGTACAGATGACCAGGACTCCCCGCCACTCCTGAACCCCAGCTTCCCATGGGTGCCCCACACCCTTCCCTGTACTGACCAGCATACACTGGACGACGAGCCACACACTTTCGGTCAGTATCTGGTCTGTCTCCCTGCGCACCACTCCCCCTGCATCCCCAAAGCCTCCCGAGACGCATTTCCAGGGGCAAGGGCTCCCCCTCACTGAACCCCGATGGCGGGGCTTTCAGGCGGGGCCCGGGGGGGGGGGGGATAAGACGCAGCTCCAAGGGTTTGTGCTTATGTTCTGATGTCGTCACCCTCGTGGCCTGGCTCTTAATGCCTGACGGTCAGGTTAACAGACACTGGGCTGCGTCACAGGAGCAGGGACCACGTCTTCATCCTTGAAGCCCTCCCATTGCGCCTGGCAAATGGCCCGTGTGGATAAATGGTTACTCCTGGGCCACAGAGCTCTCTGGGCCAACACCCACTATGCCGGTGCCCAGCTACCCAGAGCCTTGAGACAGTGTTAACAACAAGGCTTCTCATTCCTACTCCTCACAATGACTGCAGACCCTCAGTGAAGGGATCAGGCTACCTCCTCAAGTGCAGGCAGCTTCCCGAAGCCCCAGGCCCAGCTGCTCTCAGAACCACCTTCTGCAAAAGCCTCTGGACCTGGGGCCCAGGTTGCTTCTTACAGGAGGGAGCGCCTGGCAGTGGGTGGATCAGTGGCAGGCCCTGGGTCGTCCCTTGCTTGAGGATAGCCTAGGAAGAGGCTCTGCCTTTGACTTCCTTCTCCACACCCCAAAGTCTGTCTTCCTCAACTCATCTCCTAACGCCTGCATCCTGTGCCGGTGCCTGTCAGGCCGAGGAAACTCACCTTTAAAATGGCTGAAAGGCACCAATTGGGGGAAAGTGCTCAGTGGGAGCGAAGCTGCTCCTGCTTCCCAGCCCCCACCAGGATTTCGGTCTTGTCTCCGGCAGTGAGAGAACCGCGGCCCTGAGGTCTCCGTGGGTCAGGGCTGCTGTGGGGCCTCGGTCCTTGGCAGTGGGATGCCCAGGGCAGAGTGAGCCGGCCGGCGGCGGGCTTCGGCCACCTGGCTCGGGGAACAGAAGTCTTCCAGGAAGACCTGGGCCAGGTTCCGGAGCCGTGTGTTGGCCGAGAGAGAGAAGCGCAGCATGCACTGGACCACGGGCGTGGCGGTCAGCTCGGGGTGGGAGCCGGGGCCTGGCGAGCTCAGGTACATGATGGTGGTGACAGCGGACAGCACAGTCTCCTCGTTGGGGCTGGACAGGCAGTTGATGATGAGCGGGACGCCCCCTGTCTGCAGGATGTGCTCCTTGTTGGCCCTGTCTGAGCACAGGTTGCAGAGGCCTCCTGGGGGAGAGCAAGGTAAGTCTGGAAGCTTCAGCCCTGGCCTCCCTTCTCCCCTTTCTGCTTCTCTCTGCCCACTGAGGCTCAGGGAAGGGCCCGGGGCTGTGAGAAGGTGGCCCAGGGACAAGGGATCCAAAGCCCATTCTGTTTTCCAGAAAGGCCTGCCTGCCACAGCCTAGCCTGAAAGTGGGCACTTACCTCTCGGTCCAGCCAGTTCAATGGTTGATATACTTTTTTTAAAAGTAAAAAACAGTTACCAACCCTGGGACCTTTTGGCCCCAGATCTTCACAAACTGCCACCCTCTTGCTGGTAACCAGCACCCTCTGCTCCCTCACCAGTGAGGGTTCCCTGGAGCACCCCACTAGCCACTCCCTGCCGGGCCTGGGGGACTCCTCACCACCCTGATCCATTTTCTCCTGTGCTCAGAACACTTGAGAAGGCGTCTTTGCGGACCATTTTCCTGGCACTGCCTGCCAGGCCCCACTAGCAACTGCGTGTCTGCCACCAAGACCTCAGCTTCCTCTTGCATCCCAGCCACCCAACGACTTGCCACCCAGACGGAGGAAGACCCGGAAAGCTGGGGGCCGTGTGAGCCACGGCCGCATCGGCCAGCACAGGAAGCACCCGGGAGGCCGAGGTACTGTGGGTGCCTTGCGTCATCACAGGCCCAACTCCCAGGGTTACCGTCTGGGCTCCTGTGGGAAAACTGGGGCATGAGCACTTAAAGAGGACCCAGAGCTTCTGCCCAACTGTCAACCTCGATAACCGTGGTCGGTGAGCAGAAGAGTGGAGCTGTTATCACTGACGTGCGGTCCCTACTAGAGTCCTGGGGAAGGGGAGGCTCCCACCGCAGCCTGTCACCATGGAGGCCAAGTTCTTCAGCAGAAGGGCTGAGGAGAAGATTAAGGTGTGTGTGTGTGTGTGTGTGTGTGTGTGTGTGTGTGCGCGCGCGCGTCCTGATAGTTTTTTGCGTTTTTTTTAAAGATATTTTTATTGCCAAAACCGGTTTGGCTCAGTGGATAGAGCGTCGGCCTGCGGACTGAGAGGTCCCAGGTTCGATTCCGGTCAAGGGCATGTACCTGGGTTGTGGGCACATCCCCAGTAGGAGATGTGCAGGAGGCAGCTGATCGATGTTTCTCTCTCATCGATGTTTCTAACTCTCTATCTCTCTCCCTTCCTCTCTGTAAAAAATCAATAAAAAATATATTAAAAAATAATAATAAAAATAAAGATATTTTTATTGACTTCAGAGAGGAAGGGAGGGAGGGGAGGGAGGAAGGAAGGGAGGGAGGGAGGGAGGGAGGGAGAAAGAGAGAGAGAGAGAGAAGCATCAATGATGAGAGAGAATCACTGATCAGCTGCCTCCTGCACGCCCCCTCCCCTACCAGGAATCAAGCTTGCATGTGCCCAGCATGTGCCCTGACCAGGAATCGAACCGTGACCTCCTGGTTCATAGGTCGATGCTCAATCACTGAACCACCCAGGCCGGGCTGTGTCCTGATAGTTTGAAGCCACATAGAGGGAAGTTCATTAAATGCTCACACGTTCTTTGGTTAAAAAACAAAAAAAAACAAGCCTCGGCTGTCTTATTTGGTGCCTGACCCAAGGGGCACTCCCGGAATATTTGTTGGAAGGTTTTAAAGCAGAGAGGGGAGGAAAGGGTTGACCTGCAGAGGGTTGGGGGCCGCATGGGATGGCTCCCTGAGACCCAGCCCACCTTGGACCCCCCGTAGTTCTGGATCCAGGCTGTGGCTCCCAGACAGGGTGCATCTGAGGGAGGCAAGGGGCTGAGTGGCGTTCCTGAGGTCAGGAGGGGAGGGGGACAAGGCTCTGATGGAGAGGTCCCTGCCTACTGGACACCCACAGGCCTTCCTGTCAATCTTCCCTCCGTGCCCATTCACCCGTGTAGCACTTGGCACACTGGGCCATCCCTTGAGTGTCTTTGTACTGCTGCCTGTCCTCGTCACTGGGCACCATAAGGCAGGGCCCCACCCTCTGGTGTCCCTCTGTATCCCAGGCACCTACAGCTGCGGAAACTCACTGGACACATGCTGGGGACACGAATGAACCCCACAAAGTATTACCCTCACCCCCATTTCAGCAGAAGCCAAGGCTGTGGAGTAACTCGTCCAAAGTCCCAGAAGATGGGAGCCCTTTGCCACAACCACGGGAAAGGTGTCCCGAAGCTCCAAGGACAACTAACTGTGCTGTGGGCAGGTGCCAGGCTCGACTAGGAACAGGGACAAGTGCAAATGCTTGGGGAGGCTCAGGCTTCTCAGACACACCTGCACCCTCTCTCCTGCCCTGAGAGTGTGAACCAGCCTATCTACCCTGCAGACGCAACCCAGGGGTGGGGATGGGACTTATCTCGCTGTAAAGGAGGAGACAATGAGGACTCAATCACTCTCTGGCTGGTGAGTCATCATCACACCCAGGAGTGCCTGGGCGGGACACTGCCACCAAAGCCAGGGGATAACCAGATGGCCAGCCCTGCAGGGTGGGGGCAGGAGGAGGCCTCAGGAGAGCAGGCCCCACCTGTGCCCCAGTTGCAGGCCTGGGAGCCTCCAAGGATGGATCAGGTACCTTCCAGAGCTCACAAGTGCCTGGGTCCAAACACGGCGGGTGGGGGAGCTCTTTTATAAAGGCTCCAAACTAGAAACAACTCAAATCTCCAACAACAGGTGAATGGATGAACACATCGGGCACATTCATTCAGAAACACGAACTAGCACTGGCTGGGTGGTTGGTTAGAGCGTTGTCCCGTTCACCAAAAGGTTGCGGGTTCGATTCCCAGTGAGGCCACATACCTAGGATGTGGGTTCTATCCCTGGTGGGAGCTCATACGGGAGGCAACTGATGATGTTTCTCTCTCCCTCTCCCCAGCTCCCTGTCTCTCTAAAAACAGTAAAACATATCCTTAGGTGAGGGTTAAAAAAAAATACCATAACAATTGGGATGAATATCAGAAACATTTGTGGAGGAAAAGGGGGCCACACACTGAATGTGCACTGTGGGCCGCAGACGCAGAGACGGAGAGGGACCACAGGATGATCTGAACACAGAAATTCCTAACGAAAGTGGGTCATGGCGGGCAGCCACAGCCCAGGCCTAGACCTTCCTTGACAAAGGTCAGTCTTCATCTTAAGTGGGCCTGCCTGCTGTCTTTCTGCATGTGAGATAACAGACCACCTTTGCCTGTAATTTTTTGCAGCACCAGAGCAAGGACCACAGAACCTTCATTGTGACCTGTTGCCCACACACTACCTCTATGTGCTGTAAATGTTTACAAAGTAAAGAAGTGTCCCCATTTCATTCTTTTTTTTTTTTTTTAAATATATTTTATTGATTTTTTACAGAGAGGAAGGGAGAGGGACAGAGAGCCAGAAACATCGATGAGAGAGAAACATCGATCAGCTGCCTCCTGCACATCTCCTACTGGGGATATGCCCGCAACCCGGGGATATGCCCGCAACCCAGGTACATGCCCTTGACCGGAATCGAACCTGGGACCCTTCAGTCCACAGGCCGACGCTCTATCCACTGAGCCAAACCGGTTTCGGCCCCATTTCATTCTTTATCACTCTCAGAGATTCCCCACTTGGTTTTCTCCCGCCTCCCTAATCCACCACCCATGAATTTCAGGTAACCGCCCCTTACATCTCCTCCTTTGATTCTAATGTATAAAAAAAGCTGTGAAACTGTCATTCTCTGGATCATTTTCTCAGTCCATTGAGATTTTGCTTCTCAGCAATTGTCAGTTTGACTCAAATATAAAAATTCCCTACAGGTTTGGATGTTTCTTAGGTCGATACATCATTGAGTGAAAGAAACTAGACACGAGTCCACATCCTGCCTGGCCTGCGTGGCTCAGTGGTTGAGCGTCGACCCACGAACCAAGAGTCACCAGATTGATTCCGGGTCAGGGCATATGGCAGGGGCTGCAGGCTCCATCCTCAGTAGGGGGTGTGCAGGCGGCAATCAATTGATGCTTCTCTCTCATCATTGATGTTTCTCTCTCTCCCTCTCCCTCTCCCTTCCCCTCTCTTTCCCTCTTCCTTCCCCTCTAAAATCAGTAAAAAAAAATAAATAATATATATTTTTAAAGAGTATACATCTGCATGATCCCACTAATATGAAGTTCCAGAATAGGCTAAAGTGCCCTGACAGGTGTGGCTCAGTGGATAGAGCGTCGGCCTGTGGACTGAAGGGTCCCAGGTTCGATTCCGGTCAAGGGCATGTGCCTGGGTTGCGGGCACATCCCCAGTGGGAGATGTGCAGGAGGCAGCTGATCGATGTTTCTCTCTCGTCGATGTTTCTAGCTCTCTATCCCTCTCCCTTCCTCTCTGTAAAAAATCAATAAAATATATTAAAAAAAAAAAAAAAAAAGAATAGGCTAAAGTAATCCATGGGGATAGAGGTTAGGTTAGTGGTTACCTTGGGGTGGGAGACACTAACTGGGAGCGGGCACGAGGGACCTTTCTAAAACCTGGTTAGGGCTGGTTACATTGATGTACATCCACTGTACTTAAGGTATGTGCATTGTACCGTATGTTCACCAGGCTGCAATTTAAAAATGGTTACCAAGCAAAAACGAGAACAAGTCTCAACTGGCTGGTGGACGTTTTGGACAAACCAGACAGGAGAGAAAAAGAAAAGACAAGAGGCAAAAGAAGGGCCCTTCTAGACACAGGGAACCACAGAAACCCCTGGGAGAGGCAAAAGAGAAACCCCCAAATGCGGCCTGGGATGAGAAAGCTGGAGGCTCTCAGAGGTCAGGTGGGTGACTTTGGGTCACACAGCAAGTAGGGCCTGTTGCTGGGAGAGCCAGGATTGTCCCAGGGATTAAATGAGGTCATGCTGACACATGCTTAGCCAGCACCTGGTGCCTGGAGGCGAGGCGGGGCCTTGGAGAGATGGCCCAAGACATTACTACCTCTGAGGACCCGCCTGCCCTGGGCTGGCCACAGTCCGTCCCAAGTCAAAAATCTTCATTTGTTCTTGG